TATAAACAATCATTTCGGCACTGTTGAAACTGATTTCCATGATGTAATAGATGTACATTTACATTACTGGGTATGTGTACACAATTGCACAGAAGCAAGAATGAACGGGGTCATGTGACACTCATCGTTGGACTATAGAGTGCACTGAAAAATAGTTTGATGATATTTGCAGACTTTAGGAAGATATGACAGAGCTATAGGGACCCTAGACATAAGATGAACATTCCTCGATGGCAGATGGGCAACAATCCTTCATCAGCAGATGGCAATAGGCACCCTGGCTGACCGATCTTGATACAGTGAGTGGCTATATTGGAAATATTTGACTAATTACTATTTTAGAACTATGAGACAAACCATCACAGCCAAAGTCCCGCTACAAGAGACAAAAAACTGCATACCCTGAGCACAAATGTTTAAATGGCAGCCAGTAAAATAAAAAGGCTGTTTTGGATGATGGATTGTACCTGCATCCCAGACCGTCTAGACCTGTGCTTCTCAACCTTTTTTTCAGTCACGGCACCCTTTAAAAGTATGCTAAATCTTGGAACACCCCAGTTTAAAATGTATGAAACATAAATGTAAAAAAAAGTGTCCCCTTATCTTAGATAGGGGTCTGATATGGATTTTAAGAGGGGACCCCACACAAAAAATTGTGTTTTCCCTTCATATCAGAGTCCCACTTTGCATCGGGACCCCCTCCTTTTACATCATAATCCTCACTTCACATCAGATCCCCCCTTCCCCACATTAGGGTTGCCACCTGTTCCGGATTCACCTGGATAGTCCGGGTTTTGAGTCCTATATGTGCTGTGTATGGGTTTCAGCTGTCCTAAAACCCGGAAACGGCACATGCGGGACTCAAAACCCGGATTGTCCATGTGAATCTGGGACAGGTGGCAACCCTACCCCGCATCAGTATTCCCCTTTCACATCAGAAGCTTGACTGTACCATGGAAAGGCACACTGCTGTGTGAAAATTGCGAGGCACCCCCCGAGGAATGCTGGTTACATGTTTAGATGAAGCCCTGAGATCTTGAGGAATACTGAATTAAGTTTTACTTACTTAGAAGAATGTTGCATACATGTATACAGGAATACAGCCTAAAACACATAAATCATAGAGAAGAAAACATATACACAGAGAACTTCCTGTGTATCACAGACACGGATACAGAAGCATAGTGAATAACATTGCTCTAGAGCACCATCTAGTGCTCGAAAGACAACATTACATCTCTGAATGTCAGCAATACTATCAGTACATTAGCAAAAGGTGTTGTATTTCCAACAAGGAATGCAGAAGGCACCCCAGGGTGCCACCGCACCCTGGTTGAGAAAGGCCGGTCTAGACTATGGACATTTATATTTTATATATATTTATATATATAGCATTTCAATGTTATAGGTGCTTTCTCAAGACAATTAGTCACCTGGTAAACTACAAGAATACCCTGCATCTAGTGCTGGTTTTATGTTTGCTCATCATTCCCTGTTTCATTCTGTACATAGAGCTCCAACTGTATAATCCACAAATCAAGAGTCTGCAAAATGATTAGGAAGAACTACAAAGAGTAGTGTGCTCCTCTACCCTGTGCATCCCATCAGTGATGTCACAAGGAGGGTGCGGGAGGTGTGGCCCACACCGGTGACACCATCAGAGGAGGGACTGACAGTCATTTTGGTGTCACCCCCTCTGAAAATTCGGGCACTCTGTAATAGACCGATCTCGGCGCATCGCACTGTTTACCTCTTTTTGTTGTTAAAACTTTATTCAAATATAAGGAGTGACATTTCATTAAAGGAGAACTATGGGGTCAGTGTTTTTCCCCATAGTTCTCCTTAGGGTAACGGGAGGACACAAACTAGCGCCCTCCCGTTACCCTAAGCTCAGTATACCGCGAGCTACAGCTCGCGGTATACTGAGGTGGCGCAGCCGGAGCGGATCCCGACGTAGATGACGGGATCCGCCCAGCTGCGTGAGTGACAGCTGGCTCTGCCTTTCTAGAGGCAGAGCCAGTTGTACCCGCCCCCTCCCCCGTGACAGGATCGAGAGGTGAACGAACCTGGTATGTGTTCGCTCACCTCCCGATCTACTGAGCTGACCTGTGACAGTCTCATTGTCACAGGTCGGCTAGAACTATGAGGTGAGTGGAAATCACTCATCTCATAGTTCTCTTTTAAGTTTTATTGGCACAGAGCAGTGCAATGTGGATGCATAGCAGCCCGCTGAGCTGAAAACAAGTACTGCACGCAGTACTTTTTTTTCAGCGCACACAACCGAAACGCAGTGGTGGCAACTGTGCCCATCTGTCACATGGCATATTGCCTTGTGCAGGAAAAAAACGCCCAATGCATTTGGTGTGAATCAGCCCTTAGGCTGGGTTCACACCTGGGCGTACCATAGGCAAGTTTTTTCTGCTTGTTTTTCAGCTCGTTTTTTGCACATTTCTTTGCCCCTTTTTTCAACCGGTGAAACGCGCGTTCGACCCTCGTTTTTATGCCTCCCTGGCAGTATGATTTTTTTTCCTTTATTTTCTCTATCTTTTTTTTCGGGGTTTTTTTTTAAACTTTCAAATTTCCCACCGGTTCCGCCCCTGTGCGACGCGGCCGCTCGCAAGGGACGGAACCCGGAAGTCAGCAGCGGCCGTAGGACACAGCGGGAATCGCGGACAAGGTAAGTGCTACGCTGTATTCCCGAGTGTGGCTCGGGGTTACCGCTTTGTTAACCCCGAGCCACACTCGGGAATACCTATGGATACGTGTGGAAAAACGCCCCAAAGAAGCTGCTGTACTTGTTTGGGCGTAGGGCGTTTGTCAGCGTGTTTCCATGGGCTGAAATACGCACAGGTAGGAACCATGCCCATATTGATTCATGGGATTTCACTTGCTGAGCGTTTTTCAGTGCTGCGATCAGCGCTGAAAACCGCCCAGGTGTGAACCCAGCCTTACGCCTGGTTCACAGCTGTACGTTTTGTAGCGCTTCAATGCTCTACAAAACGCTCAAACATGAAAATCCCATTGTTTTATATGGGTATGGTTTACACCTTGCCGTATTTCAGCCCGTCTGAACGCGCTACAAAACGGCCTACGTCTGAAAAGGTACATGAGCTTCTTTGCGGCGTTTTTGTTACGCGTTTCCATTGGGATACAGCCAAGTAGCGAATTGCGGTAAAAACGCGTGTCACAAAACGCGCGACAAACGCGCATATTCGATACGCCTAGGTGTGAACAGAGCCTTATGGTGCCCATACACTTTACAACCATCGCAAGACCTTAGTCTTGCGATGGTTGTAAAGTAATTAAAAAAACGTACGATCTGCCCATCTTGGACAGGCAGATCGTACTCTCGATCATCGCAAGCCCGCCCCCCGAAGGGGCGGGCTTCCGATGACCGCAATGCTGAACGGGCAGTGTAGCCCTACCGCATTATTGGTTGTTATGGAGAGCTTGCCTGCATCCTGGCAACCAAGGATGCTGTGTGGCTGAGCAGTTAGCATCCTAGCAGCCAATGACACTGTGCAGGTCCATAGCATCATTGGCTGCTAGGACACAGGTGGCTGTGGGTTCGGTTCCCTTTGACGTTCGCCAAAGCTGGATTTCTGTCCAAGTGAACTGATCCCAGGCACGTATGGCTCATCACCAGTTTTTACATATGTACAACCCTGCCACCTGTAAAGTAAATGATAAGTGTGCGATGAATGAATTCCCAAGCCCATGTGTGGGAGGTATGTCATCCCAGCCCGACCAATCAAAATGGCGAAAGACTTCTGAACCTGGGAAAAGATGGAAGCACCTGCGATGAGGAAGATTGTGGATGTTTCAGTGCTGGAGGAGGGCACTTCACAAGGTAATGTGCGGATATGCTGTGCATACTAGCACATTATGGCAAAAGCCTCTGGAGTAGGGGATCTGAAAGGTTTAAAGGAGAACTATGGGGTCAGTTCCTCCCGATCTACTGAGCCGACCTGTGACAGTCTCATTGTCACAGGTCGGCTAGAAAAGCACTCACCTCATAGTTCTCCTTTAATTCTACTATAACCCAGCCACTGCTCTGTAGCCCTGTGAAAAGCAATCCAACTTAGCTTTGCAGAAGGCAGCGCAACCTGCTGCCCGTCCAAACAAGGCCTAACTCAGGGGTGGGCAAACTCTGGCCCTCTGGCTGTTGTGAAACTACAAATCCCATGATGCATCTGTCTCTAGGAGTCATGCCTGTGGCTGAGAATCTTGCAATGCCCCATGGGATTTGTAGTACCACAACAGCTGGAGGGCTAGCAATTGTCCACCTCTGGGCTAACATAAGATACTTTACCTAAGATATGGACCTTGGACTGAAGGAAATGTCTGCAGCAGCCTGTACATTGCACCTGCCATCCACAGAGTGCAATGCTTTGGAGGCCCCAATGCTAACATAAAAAAAAAAGATTTTTTTTTTTGCACTATATATATATATTTTTTTTTTTACAAAAACTAGAACATGACAGTCACCATTTCTTTTTATTGAACGTGCACTATGATAATACTATGAGAACCCAGCCCTTTCTATAAGGCTATGTACAATTCATGAAATTCATTTTAATTAATTATTTTATGTTATATTTAAATACATTTTGCTATTTTTATACTTATCCACATATGCGTGGTCTGTTATTTCTCCAAATTATTTTACTCTATGAATAATGTATAGCCGGACAATAAATACCCGGGTCCACTTTAAGAGAACTACACGTGTCTGGCGAGACCCTGGCTGTGGTACTTCGAGTGCGACACAGAGTTTTCGATCACCGCGACAACCAGCATGCCCCGCCCCTCCTCCGGACAATTGGAGCGTTTCTCCATTGTGCCGCTTGCCACTGTGTTCCGATGCTGAGCTCCGCTTCCGATTGGACAGTTCCCGCAAACTCGCCATATGAGCTCAGCTTGATCGCCCTGCGCGACAGCCAATGGCAGAGCGAGGTGGGCGGGGTGATGTGTCCGGGGGCGGGTCTTAGTTTGACAGCGAGGAGTGGGGTAACACCAGGGAGCGGGGACACCGGGCAGGTGAGAGGGAAGAGGAAGCGCTGCGGTCTGTGTAGTAAGGTATAAGGTGGCCGCCTCTGTTATTAATATACGTGTGTCTGAGCAGGCTGATGTGTGATGCATATTTGTTCATGGCGTGAGTGTATACACTGTGGATCGGTGTGCACAGAAGCAGATACATCAGTTTGTTGGGAGGGCTTCAGGTAGGCTCTGATCAGCCGGTTGCTTGCTGGGACTTGTAGTACTCCAGCTGCTGAGTCACTCAAGGGCAGGGGTGGACAACTCTAGCCCTACACCTGTGCCTTAACTACAAATCCCAGCATGCCTCTGAGACTCATGCCTGTTACTGCAGTCTTGCAATGCCTCATGGGTTCTAGTGTAATTGTTGTTGTATACTGTATTATTATTTATTAATAAATGCAGGGAGAGGCTGTGTCTGCTTTGCATAGTTCAGTAAATATAACTAACACGGTAATCCTGCAGCATCTAGGTGGCTATAAAAGATACGCATGGCCGCCGGTGACATTCAAATGAATGGCAATGCACCTAGCACATGATGCTGCGCTCTGGGTGCATTGTGCTGAACCCATGGCAGTGTGCAGTTAGTGTAATGCTCCTGTGTGAATGGACCTGTGCTTTTGTACTGACAAGGTGATTTAACAAGTTCACAGCGGGCACCATAAGTTACCTGTACGTACCTTCCATCACAGCCCCTGCAAGCTAGGCCCTGGGAGGAATCTGGTACATCCAAGTATGGGGCACATCTGATGCTCCCCACGTCTTCCTAAGTTCAGTCCCCAATGTTGTACAGCCAGTTGTCAGTCCCAAGTGTTGTCACCTGGGGGGGGTGAGCATCCTTAGCTGCACACAAGATAGAGCTTTCAGAAAGCCAAAACTTGCACTGGACTCTGGCAATGGATCTGGATAGTGGAAGAGTTCTCAGGGTAGGTACACCTTTTGGTGCCTGCTATGCCTAGAGAAGTCAAGTTCAGGTGAATCTGTATCTTCTCCATTCATGGCAAGCTAAAAGGTTCTCTTGATAGTCTACCTGCCTCCTTTGCAGCTGCTACATACCTTCCCTTCACTCGCCTGCTGCCTTGTTCGTCCACCAGAACATCTCCAAAACCCCTATGAAAGTTCCTTCAAGTCAGAGCTCACTCAGGTTAAGGATCCTTCCCCTGATCCCATGTGACAGCACTTGGGCCTGGTGATCAGCTGCTCAGGAACCCAATTCTGCATTGTGGAAGAACGAAGTGTAGAGAGTCAGATGCTTCCAGGTACCCGCAAGTACTGGGAATTTGATGGGTTTGCATCAATCGCAAGGAGAAGGGAAGGCGATACTAAACAGTGGGGAGGTGGGCCATTAAGTGAACCTTTTTACTTTGCTTAGATTTTCCCTAAATGAGGTCTTCTAGAGTAATTTAGACTTATATTATGTCTATTTTTTATACAGAATATACAAAAATGATTTCAGATATTCCCTGAGTTTCTTAAGACTTGCGTTTTGCAATTCTTGATGAAAGTCAATATGTCCAACGACGCATGCACCTCTATTATTATTATTATTATACAGGATTTATATAGCGCCAACAGTTTGCGCAGAGCTTTACAATATGTAGTATGTAGTATTATATGTTATAGAGCAGGGGTAGCCAAACTTTGTCCCTCAAGCTGTTGTGGAACTACAAGTCCCATGAGGCATTGGAAGGCTCTGCCAGCCTCAAGCATGACTCCCAGAGGTAAAGGCGTGATGGAGGTTGTAGTTGCCACACAGCTGGAGTGCCGAGGTTGCCTACCCCTGTTATAGAGCATACTGGTCTGATGGTGCATTATAAAATATGTCACCACTGCAGATGGGCCATCAGCCAGAACTTGCTACGGAGAGATGACATCATATGTGTAGAGGAGTACATGGAGTGCTGGGAAACCAGGGAGAAGGATATTTGGGGGGAGCCAATGCATTTCCTTGGCATTGTAGGAGAATCTGGACTTCTTTATGCGGGCCTCATTTACACATCTAGGATATGAGAAGCAGTGGTGTTTCCTATGTTTGCTCAGTTATACATTCAAATTTACTTGGTATGGTTAGTGCAAAGTGAAGTAACTCATAGCAGCCAATTAGAAAGCATCCCCTAATTTAACTGACCACAGAAAAACTCAAATCGGATTGGCTGCTTTAGGTTACAGCACGCAGCCTTAGCGAATAAGCTTGAAACCTTAAAATGTGTGGCTTTGAATTGTCTAAACCAGCCTTTCTCAACCTTATTACCACAGAGGAACCCATGAAATAATTTTGAGGTTTCAGGGAACCCCTGTGAAAACAAATTCACTGGTAGTAAGAATGCCCTCCTTATAGTGGTGGTCAGAATGCCAGACGGCTAACTTGGTGTCATGCATGATCTGGCTGTACAAAGTGGCGTTGGCCTTGGAACGATGTAGCCATCATCAAATTGGAGGTCACTCAGCCACAGCTCAAGAAACCCCAAGCAACCTCTGGAGGAACCCTACATAACCCTAGGTGAGAATGGCTGGACTAAACTGTGTCACCAGAAAGTCTGTAACTACTATTATGTGATGTTTTAGGTCTTCATCCCTCAAAGAAATGGATGTGCTGTTATATCTGGCTGGCTTGCTGGTCCTCTTTCTACTGTGGATAAAAGCCAAGGGCTTCGAGCATGTCATCGTCCACCACAGATGGATCTTCGTGTGCCTCTTCCTGCTTCCTCTGTCTGTTGTCTTTGATCTGTATTATTATGTCCGAACCTGGCTGGTGTTTAAGATGTGCAGTGCCCCGAAGCTCCATGACCGGCGGGTTAAGGAGATTCAAGAACAGGTGAGGTGTTGTGGTTTCTTACTGTTCATTCATATACTCGGTTTAGGATTTACGGAAATGCCAGCTTTCTCTTAGGATGGCTATTGTTACCATCCATATGTATCCATAGCTGGTTGATGCGTGGTCAGCACTACCTTTTATATGTTCACCCGGATGAGGGAGTAATACAAATGAATGAAACAGAGACTCCCATTTATAACGGGAGCAGATACAACTATCTGTTTTCTGGTGGGCACTATATTGTTTACTACACCTGCATTCTACTAGCTATCCAAAAATGGAGGCTGGAGCCTGCGGTGTTCAACGGAGTGTCACGTGACCAGGCTTTCTCCTTACACTTTTTTGGGTTTATTCCTCATCTATTAATTTGAATGAGACTTTGCTTGCTTCAGAGTAGGGATGTTCAGATACCAAGTACCGTACTCGGTACAAGTACAGATACTTTTCCAGCTCCAAGACTAGACTAGAGAAAAATTCAAAAGTTTGGAGGCATCTGTCACTTTTAAGGAGCATACGGAGCTCCTGTGATTTGTACATCTCTGTGTTAATAAAAAAAAAAAAAATTAAATGTATATAAGGGATGCACTGATACTTGTCCAAGTACTCAGATCAAGTACTGATACATTTTTGTTTATTGTCATGTGACCGTTTTCCTAAAACAATACAGACTAATGATTTCAGGACAATGGTTGAGTGCCAGATCCAGGCCCCAGCTGCAACCGCTGCAACCCTGGTAGTTCTCGTGAAAATGCCAAGTATCGTTACTGGGATCTGAACATCCCTACTCCAGAGTCCTGAAGCAAGAAAAGCACTGAGCATATTTGTAAAACACATCACTGCTCTATTTAAATGTCATTTTTAAGCAATGGAAAGGCTATACTGCTGTTGAGTTCCCCCGAGTCCTGGAGTTTCAGCACCATCAGACATTGGAGTGTGTGCATGGCTGCTCAGCTAACGCAGTCGTCAATATACATACAAACTTGTGCAGAAGATGCCGGTGATAAACACTAAACAACGTGTTGTCTTCTGCTGAAGGTTTATTCAGAAATCAGCGTTTGCTGGTGTATAGTATTGCCATAGAGTTAAATGAACTCCGTGTACTGCTGTGTCAGCTCCTTTCCACGCTAAGGGCATCGGAGAACAAAGTCGTACTATTGACTTGTTGACCAGCATGTGCAAACATTCTACGTCACTGGTATCTGGTCAGCTCTTGCACCAGTGCTGTAAAGGATCTGGCATTATGATCCCATTATCAGAAAGCTTTCTGAGAGAAATATGGAGGCTGCTGTTTTTTTGCCTTTTCTTCTAAAAATGCTTGTTGCCTGGCTATTATGCCAAACACTCTTGCTTCACCAGTGAATCTAAAGCAACTTTTGCTCTCCAGCTGTGGTGGGACTGCAAATCCCTCTGCCTTTAGGTGTCATGCCTGTGGCAGTCAGAGTCTTGCAATGCCTCATGGGACTTGTAGTTTAACAACAGCTGGAGGGCTGAGGTTGCCTACCCCTGTACTAAAGCCTCAATTTTATTCTGCTGGAGTAGTGGAGCATATTCTTTGTATATCAACCTTTCTTTTTCTGCTGAATCTCAAAGGCCTTTGGGCAGCATCTTCTCACAAACTCTGAGGCTGGACGAGAGGGTTGGATCGGTGCCTTTGCGTCACTTTCGCACACACAAACAAAATGCACCGCATCACATGGCAATGCATGTGAGCAATGTTATGCGCACTTTAAGGCACGCCTAGCCTCAGTGCACATCTAGACATTCTTCTCTGTTAGGGTTTTCTGCAAAAGGGAGGATCCTAGCAGTGACTGTGTGCCTACAAGTTCTACTAGAAATCTGGTCCCGGCAGTGGGCAGTCATTATATAAACAGCCTACTTACCTACACCTCCTTTGCAGAGTTCTGCTGTACTAATGGTGCTCTAAATTGAATAACAGGCTGGCTGAGAGAGAGAGACAAAGTTTCTACCTATGTAGGAGGTGTGTGAAATGGTAAAAGTCACTGCAACCATTGCAGGAAAGTCTGTGGAACATATCTCCTGTCTTAATTCCCAAGAGACTGCCCTCGTACTGGTAAAAGGGCTCTTGGGAGATGTAGTTCTGGGGAGGGTCATGTCTATGTAATTAGGAAATGATCTCCTGTTGCTACAGGAAGAAGGTAAAATATAAAAAATGGGATATGCTATAGAAGGCATATAGGGTCGGATGACAACTAGGCTTTAAGCAGCTCTCCCCCCTCCCTGTTATTCATTGTAACATGATCAGTAAACTTCAGCTCTGGCTTTGCACACAATACACTGTCTGGGGGGGACTGCCACTTTGAATACTAATGAATGGAAGGAGCTTGCAAAACACAGGCAGACATTTTTACATGAGAAGATGAAGAGGAAAGCTAAGTAACTTTTTGGGTTCATACACAGAAGCTGCATATTCCTGTTTCATGTACACTCGGTGCATATTGCTGGCATAAGTTTTTTTTTTTTTTCTTTTAAATACCACCGTTCACACCTAGACGTTTTGTTGTTAAAAGCTAAGCGTGACAAAACACTCAAGACAAGGAATCCCAATAATGTATACGCCCCTTGTTCACACCTATCCCCACATTCACACCTAGGCACCAGCGTTTCTGCACATATTTATGTGCGTTTTCGCCTAGTGCTTTTGAGCATTTTTTGCACGTCTGACACGCGTACGCTAAGTCGTGCATTTCAGCTAGCAGATATTGAGACATTGGTGTAAATGGGAAAACTCGTGCCAAGACATGCACAAAGATTTACATAGAGCTGCAGCTAACGATTATTTTCAAAATCGATTAGTTAGCCGATTATTAAGTTCGATTAATCGGTTAATCGGATAAACTATAAAATAAAGTTTAAAAAATGGCTCCAGTGATGGGACTACTAGTTTGTATTGAGGTTGTAGTCCATCACAGGAGCAAGCTTGGACCGGTGGAAGTAAAAAAGAAAAAAGATAGTGTGGTGTGCAATATAGTGAAATGGAAAGTGTAAAATTATACAGCAATGCATGCAGAATGGCAACGGTTATAGAGGACTACAAAACCCAGCAAAAGCACATTATACAGCACAATGCAGAATACCACCAGCTATAGAGGAATACAACAAATCCCAGCAATAGTACATAATAGCTGGCGGCATTCTGCATTGCGCTGTATAATGTACTATTGCTGGGTTTTGTAGTCCTCTATAGCTGGTGGTATTTAGCATTGTACCACTTTATAATGTATTATTGCTGGGATTTGTTGTACTCTTCTACAGCTGGTGGTATTCTGCATTGCGCTGTATAATGTATTATTGCTGGGACTTGTAGTCCTCTATACAGCGCAATGCAGAATATCACCAGCTATAGAGGAGTACAACAAATCCCAGCAATACATTATACATACAGTGTATAATGTATTGCTGGGATTTGTATTCCTATGTATAATATACAGCACAATGTACCATCAGCTATAGAGGAATACAAATCCCAGCAATACATTATAGAGCACCATGTGTGGGAAAGTGCAGGCTTACCTGAGCAGTCTTCCAGCAACTTGCTTCTGAGATCGGACCTGTCTATCGGCGGCTGTCATCCCCCCACACCTGCTCCTCCTTACTACATCTCCCCGCGTCCCTGTGCCGATCGTGGATGTGGGTGGGCAGGAAATGTGAGGCGGGGAGGAGGTGCGACGTGTGGAGCGTGGATGCGAGCGGGTCTGGCAGCGGCGAGCGTGAGGTGGGGAGGAGGTGCGGTGCACAGCGTGTGGAGCTGTGAACAGGGCCAACTGATCAGAAGCCGATTAATCGATTATTGAAAAAGTTGACAACTTTTTCAATAATCGATTATGTCGATTAGTTGTTGCAGCCCTAGATTTACATAATTACTTGTGAAGCGTGTTTCCTATTGAGTCTGTGGTGACAAAATGCGCTGTAAACTGCTAAAAGTAACTCGTACTTTTTTGAGCATCAGACGTTCAGCTTGCAACAAAACGCTCAGATGTAAACAGGGGCCATAGGAATGAATGGGATTTCTCGTTTTGTCTGCATAGATTTGAGCGACAAAACGCCTAGACTAAGTCCCTGTTCACACCTAGGCGTTTTGTCATCCCAGACAAGGAATCCCATTGATTTCTATGGCCCCTGTCCACACCTGAGTGGTTTGTCGCACAAAGTTTCCCATTGAACCAAATCTAAGGAACCAAAAAGCACTGTAATCTGCCAAAAAAGTACCTCATGTACTTTTTCCAGCGACAGGCATTTTTCCGCTTCCGACAAAACGCTCAGGACTGCTTTGTCACGCTTAACTTTGAGCGTCAAAATAGGTGCAAACAGGGACTGTTATGTGTTGTTTGAGACAAAAGAATGGTGCAGATGTATGGCGCTGGTCACAAGGCTCTTCAATATAGGCTCTAGGACATACAAAACATATGTAAATATAATCTGAACAGTAGATTAGACAATGTAAATATATTCAGTAGTAGTGACTCCGTTATATCCTCTTGTCTTTTCAGGTACGTCAGTGGAAAACCGATGGAGCGAAGAAGTTCATGTGTACTGGGAGGCCGGGTTGGCTCACGGTATCACTGCGGGTTGGGAAGTACAAGAGCACACATAAGAATATCATGATCAACCTTATGGATATCTTAGAGGTGGACACCAAGAGGCAGGTACGACACTGATGGAGGGCTCTTACCTGATTGAAAACTTTGGGAGTTCAGAAATTCATACTGGTTTTCGAATCTGGCAAAACCCTGTCTTTTTAGTGAGCTGTCATTTTTAAGACTTGCCAGAATGGGGTGATCAATAAAATATACATATAGCTATTTTCTTTTCCAATTTTAGATCTAGAGAGTAGGGAAGGGTTTAAACCCTTTCAGTTTTATTTTTTGCTTCCTGTGTCCTGTTAGGAGATTTCTCTTCACTTCCTGTCCCAGAGACGCAACAGGAAGTGAAAAGAAATCTCAACGTGAGGGGCTACAAACTGTGCTTCCAAGGAAACAAAAGCAGACACTAGTGTACAGCTATTCACATTGCAGACTTGTTCCCTGAATTGAGTGTTTTGCCTGTAATTCTCATTGGGTGAGCTACATCTGAGTTGTCATAATTTCTGCTCCCTTTAGGTTGTTCGGGTGGAACCATTGGTGAACATGGGTCAGGTGACTGCCCTGCTTAATTCTATTGGCTGGACCCTTCCTGTATTGCCAGAACTTGATGACTTAACTGTTGGTAAAAACACTGTTTTTATTTTAATCAAGGTCAATCAAAAAATGGTACCTTACTTCAGGTGGGGACAAATGAATATTGAGTTCAGGAGCCAGTCTGTCCAATTCAGGAGCAAGCAGGCTTTTTGTAGGCATCAGCTCCATTGACAACTAAAGTATATCATACACTGTAGGCGCCTGCTATAATTTTTAAGGCGCATTGGCTCTCCGGCTCCTGGGATTTGTCCGGCCCTGCCTTACTTGTAATTATGACGGTCGAAGATCATAAAACTAATTAAGGTTTTTTGAGTTGTGCTTAAACATAGTGCAACGCAATCCATGTTTTATGCATTATTCCTCCCTTTTCCCAATTCTCCTTGTAAACACATATGAAATCAAAGTGCATTAATTACTGTACAATGTGTGTTTTAAATGTTGTTTCAATGCATTTTATTTGACTTTAATTTATCGTGTTTTTCAAAAACGTCACAAAAGATGCAGCAATGCACCACACTGTACTGTAACACATCACCCTATGTGAAGAGCTTAGGGATGTGCAGATACCAGTGCTGATACTTGGGATTTCACAAGGACTACCAAGGTTGCAGCTGGGACCGAGCTCTGGCACTCCCCCACTGTCCTGAAATCATTAGTCTGTATTGTTTTAGAAAAACTGTCACATGACAATAAACAAAAATGTATCAGTACTCGTATCTGTGAGTACTTGGACAGGTATCAGTACTTGTACTTGGAAAAAAATATGGTATCGGTGCATCCCTAATATATATATTTTTTTTAAATCATACATTAAACCAGAGATGTATAAATCCCAGGAGCTCCGTGTGCTCCTTTACAAATGACAGCTGCCTCCTAACTTTTGAATTTTTCTCTAGTCTAGTCTTGGAGCTGGAAAAGTATCTGTACTTGTACTTGTACCGAGTACGGTACTTGGTATCTGAACATCCCTACTTTATAGATTATAATAAAAGCTAATTTTCCTCCAGAGATGTATCACTATTACAACACATGGGTGTGACTGGGCCATTACTGCATTCGTTGTGGGAAGCAGCGGAAGGGGCCCGGCTGTATCATGTGTTTTAAAATCTAAAGAAGAGACCCCACCCCCCCATCCCTCCCTGCCTTTTCTATCCCTGAGGTGCTCACATTACCTCATTAGATCAGTCCTTACTGTTTACACTGATCCCTGTACCTCTAGTGATTGCACTGTATCCTGTTTGACTGATGTTATACTTGTAACGATTTCCTCTGATGATACTTCTCTGTGCCTTATTTGTTTGAGTACCTGTTATGTCTAAATACTCAATAAAAATTATTGAAATAAAAAAAATCTACAGAAGAGGACCTAATGTTACATCAGGAATGATCTGACCCTTCAAATATATCTGTTTCAACTTTCACCTAATGTGAATGTCAAGGATAAGCTGCTTACAAAGCTGGATGTTGTAGAATGTGATAAACATGGAAAAAGCTTCTTTGCTTAAAGAGGAACTTTACCCACCAAATGAATGTCTTACAAAACCGTTACTTTCAAGATTGCCATTGTTCTTATTTCAGCTCTCAGCCGAACGTCCAAGTCATGACCAACCATGGCAGCTGCCTTGGCTGTAAGGGATAGTTCCACTTTAATCAGCAGAAACAATTTTCCTTTTGCTTGATCAACATCTCGGCAGTCATAATGCATCCAGTAACTTTTTTTTCACCCTAAACATGTTCAGGATGTTGCATGATTTTGTTGGAACCTTTATGGAGTATGTATTTTTTGGGGTGAACTGACCTTTTCTGAAAAAAAAAGATTCTGAAACTGTGCCTCCTGTTTACTTTAGGTGGTCTTATTATGGGAACAGGAATTGAGTCTTCATCACATAACTATGGGCTCTTCCAACATATCTGCTTGGCCTACGAGCTTGTCTTAGCCGATGGAAGCCTTGTCCGTTGTACACCAGTAAGTTTACTATTTTCTTCATTCAAATGCATTCACTTCATCGTAATGTTAGACATATCTGTCCTGGATGCAGATTGGATATATATATATATATATATCTATCTTCTGTTTTTGTTGCAGACTGAGAACTCGGATCTCTTCTATGCCGTGCCGTGGTCTTGTGGGACTTTGGGATTCTTGGTGGCTGCTGAAATAAAAATTGTCCCAGCCAAAAAGTATGTGAAGCTGCATTATACACCAGTGAGGGGCCTGGAGAAGATCTGTGAGAAGTTTTCCAGGGAGTCGCAAAAGAAAGAGAATCATTTTGTAGAAGGTTTGGTCTACTCTGTAGATGCGGCAGTAATAATGACTGGTGTCCTGACCGACGAAGCCGAGCCAAGCCAGGTAAGGGACCGTCTGATTTGTCACATTACGTTCATAAGCTGTTTCTAATATGAATCTTCATTGAGGTTTTACCTTTTTTATTCCTTATGCAGTTCACAGAAATGTGGCTTTTTATTTTTAAAGGTGAATAGTATTGGCAATTATTGGAAACCCTGGTTCTTCCGCCATGTGGAATCTTTCCTGAAGAGTAACCAAAGTGGAACAGAGTACATCCCCCTAAGGCATTACTATCACAGGCACACACGGAGCATTTTCTGGGAGCTGCAGGTGGGTGACGCACTCTGCTGATGCAAAAAGGTATCTGTGTTGTGCATGGTATGGGTATGGAAGAGCCTATAGTGCTATGCTTATGGGAGAGCTAATAGTGGTATGATTTGTGGTATGAGTACGGAAGGGCTGATTGTGGTACGGAAGGGCTGATTGTGGTACGGAAGGGCTGATTGTGGTATGGAAGGGCTGATTGTGGTACGAGTATGGAAGGGCTGACGGTGGTATGTGACTGCCGATGGTGGCATGAGCATGGAAGAGCTGAGAGAGGTATGAGTATGGAAGATTTCATGGTGGTATGAAAGATCTGATGGTGGTACATGTATGGAAATGTTGATGATTGTATGAAGGAGCTGATGGTAGTATGTAAGAGCTGGTGGTGGTACAGAGAACCTGATGGTAGTATGTGACTGCTGATGGTGGCATGAGCATGGAAGAGCTGATAGAGGTATGAGTATGAAAGGTTTAATAATGGTATGGAAGAGCTGATGGTAGTATGAGTATGGAAGAGCTGATAGTGGTACATGTATGGAAATGCTGATGATGGTATGAGTATGGAAGAGCTGATGGTGGTACATGTATGGAAATGCTGATGATGGTATGAGTATGAAAGAGCTGGTGGTGGTACAGAGAACCTGATGGTAGTATGTGACTGCTGACGGTGGCATGAGCATGGAAGAGCTGATAGAGGTATGAGTATAAAATATTTTATGGTGGTATAGAAGAGCTGATGGTGGTACGTGTTTGGAAATGCGGATGATGGTATGAGTATGGAAGAGTTGATGGTAGTATGAGTATGGAAGAGTTGATGGTAGTATGAGTATGGAAGAGCTAATAGTGATACGTGTATGGAAGCGTTGATGATTGCATGAGTATGAAAGAGCGAATATTAGATTCAATCTGAACAGTGCAGTGTAGAACATCAGTGGTCAATATTCTTTTCAAGTAAAGCTCCAGTATTATTTCAGTTTTGGACAAAGAGGAGAAATGTCATCAGCTTTGCAGATGACATTTCCCTTCACTTCCTGTTCCAGTGAAAACATTGTTACCCTGACAGGAATGAGGAAAAATCATCAAGGGGATACAGACAGCAATAAAAAGCAGCCGATGGTCCTAGTCTTGTCCTACTTTCCTAAAAAAAATATTTATTGCTGTCTGTATCTCTCCTGGAGCTTCTCCATCACTTCCTGTCCCACTGACAATGTGTCACCAGGACAAGAAATTCTCTAGTAGAGGTCACAGAGAGGTAAAACACTGACATGGGTTTCATGCCTTCCCTGTTCCAAAACTTAAAAAAAATAAAAATATACAGTTGGAGATGTACTTAAAATTCAGTTTGCTACAGAATATTTGGCCCTCACTTATTTATAAGGCTCGATAGGGGTGTCCTGTGAATCTTCTATTACAACCCTTATATAAGATAACTGACCTGGAACAAGCATGCAGCTAGTGAAGGCAAAGGAAGGCCTGAATGTCTGATCTACATACTTGTTGTGGGTCAGTGACACAGATGGTATTAAAGCATTTGCATCAACACAACAGCCAGGAAATGTGTGTAATTTCTCACTATGGGGTTCCTCCTACCTAAAGGTTTGTTTTTCAGTGAAAAATCCTTTTGGTCAGATGACTTTTTATTTATCATTAACATTCTTCTTTTTTTGATTGTAGGACATTATTCCATTTGGCAATCACCCAGTGTTCCGTTACCTGTTTGGCTGGATGGTTCCACCAAAAATCTCCTTGTTAAAGCTTACACAGGGAGAAACCATCCGGAAGTTGTATGAGCAGCATCACGTGGTGCAGGACATGCTCGTTCCAATGAAATGTCTGCAGAAGTCCATCGAGGCCTTCCAAAAGGAGATCAAGGTGTGTATGAAGAAAGGCCACTGAAAAATAACAATGTTTTTCTAAAGCCAAAACCTTTTTTCCCCTCATTTTGAATAGAGCAGGGAATGGTTAAAGCTGACCTCCGGCCTTACCTTGCAGGAGTGAGATTGGAGCGGTGGCTACAATACAACACACATGGGGAACAAAAGTAGCCCCCCTCCAGAAGGAAGGACAGTGTCAGCACCAATTCAGAGATGATTTGAGGATCTACAGCCGAGTGATGTACAAATAAGATACATTTTTGTAAATAGTTGGCCTACTTGAATGTATTTTTAAGATTTAGTTACTGAGTTTAGTGTCACTTTAAGTAGTGTAGAGTGTATTATTTTCTTTAGGAAGCTCTCTCAGGAATGGGGGCCAAAGGTTGGCTCTTTGCTTGAGTAGGAACTGGGTGTGCAGTCAGGAAAGCACCAAAAACAGAACGTATAGTAAGTCTAGATTTTATTTTCTTCGGATTTTTATATCCTAAGAAAAAAAAAGGGTTACTGGGGTTCGATTTTTGGACACTTTGTCAAGAGTCAACCGCTAATCCCTGTTCTCCATCTCTAACCAGTCACCCTGGTTGATGATGAATGTCTAGAGCAGTGATATGTGACTGTCGTAGGAAGGGCAGAGGTGTCCAACATGCGTGCTGTAATTGACAGTCTGGCTTCACCTTCTCTGTGCTGTACAAGGAGGATGCAGCACCCAATAGATGATTTATGGGGAACATATTGGAGGGGACTTTATATGCAGTCATTAATTATGCACCATGGAATTATTTATATGCTGAATAGTTTGTATTTTGGAGCAGTTTCTGAGAATATTGACAGATGAAAGGTTTGCTTTACTACATAAGTGGGTCTACATCATGTTTACACTAAACACAAAAAAATAAAGATTAATGGCAACATTTGCTTTCCTCACAAAGTATTGGGTATCCCGTGGCTTCCCAGTCACATACATCTACATATCTGTTGGTTCTCTGCAGCTGTCCTTTGTGTAATACACCTTTTACAGTAATGTCTTTTTTCTTTTATGCAGGTGTACCCACTTTGGCTTTGCCCCTTCATCCTACCCAGTCATCCTGGCATGGTACATCCCAAGGGCAATGAAGCAGAGCTGTATGTAGACATTGGAGCATATGGGGAGCCAACGACGAAACACTTTGATGCCAAAGCCTCTATGCGGCACTTAGAGAAGTTTGTCAGAGACGTCCATGGGTAAGATATTTGTCTGGTTGCCGCTAGAATTACGATCATGAAATGTATTGTATATATTCAGTATATGATGTAACCAACAAGAGGAGATTATTATTTTAATTTTTTCAGCAAAGAGCACACAAAACGCATTCAGGGAAACAGCCAAATGTACATAAAATGCATGTTATAAATCACATTAAAGCCCTTCTGCAGGTCACCCTTTCCCCCTTGAGGTTCCTACCAGAAGTATTATTTTTCTTGATATATTTTAGGCGATCCTTTTAACTCTTCGGGAAGCCTATCCTGCCTCTACCTAACCGCTAAACTATGACTTTCTCAAACATCTCATTCCCACAAAGCTACCACCTCTTGTATCAAGTGCCCCTGCCTTTTTAGATTGTAAGCTCTCAGGGGCAGGGCCCTCCTTACCATCTTGTCCTGATTTGTATTGTGATTGTAATGTCTTCCTTGTATTGTAAAGTGCTGAGCAAACTGTTGGCGCTATATAAATCCTGTATAAAACCAGTTAGGAATGCACCGATACCAGTTTTTCGGTATCGAGTACAGATATAATAATCTTTCGGTACTCGCCGATACCAAATACCAATATTTGCCACCGGTTTTCCTGATTGCCCGGGAAGTGGGCTCCATGCTGTTTGGCCGGCTCAATGCTGATTGGCCTGGGAGGCCAGCTTCCTAGCCAATCAGCATTGAGCCAGCCAAACAGCATGGAGCCGGCTTCCCAGGGCAATCAGGAAGCTGCCGCCTGATTGGCCGGGAAGCTGGCTCCATGTTCCCTCGCGGCACTGCTGGTCAGCGGAAATGCCACTGACCGGAAGTTCTGGTACCAGGGGTTAGTATCGGAGCATTTGGGCGAGTATGAGTACTTGTGCCCAAATACTCCTTATCGGTGCATCCCTAATAATAATTAAGGATGCACTAAATTATCGACAGAAACGGTATCGGCAAAGTGCTGATAATTTGGTGCCTCCCCTGCCCGCCCACAGCAGTAGCTTTCACTGCTCTACCATGGCCTCCTTCCCGCCCAGCCGCTGCGATGTAAACGGCAGGCAGTGAGTGGGAGAAATAGCCAAAAGCAGGCTTACTATTGCTCCCACCCACAACCTGCTGTCATCACTAGAAGATCGGACTTGAGAGAGAGAAGAGTTCTCTAACAGGCTGATGCTATCAGTGGGCGGAGCCTGTTAGAGAAAGGCGTTCTCCTTCAGATCCGCTCCACTGCCAATTGACAGCAGGTAGTGGGCGGGAGCAATAGCCAGCCTGCTATTGGCTATTGCTCCCACCTACTTCCTGCTGTTCACAGCGGCTGGGTGGGAACGAGATGGCGGCAGTGCCTGATGCCAGCAGCTGGGGGCTAGCTAGTTGGGCATTTTCGGTATCTGCCAAACAAATTTTTTATTTCGCCATGAATTTTCATTTCGGTGCATCCCTAATATATACTTTCCTTTTTTGATGTCTTCCGGACGTTCACATGATGCACAGGGTCCTCTTTGGTCTTCTCTTGGCAATGGCCAGTCTTTCTTGGTCTTCCAGGTTGAGTGGGGGGGGTCATTCATCCTGGAAGGCTAAGGACATCTAGTGGTGAAGAGGGGGGCAACTCTAGATTTTTTTTCTACCTCTGCCTGGGGCAGAGTCCCTCCCCCTTTTCTTTCTTTCCTTCCTCTCCTCTCCCCCTTAAATTGCCTGGAGTTGGATTTCAAAAACAAATGACACTACATGTATGTTTACAACCCCAAGTGTAATTCCAGTCTATGGGCAGAATTTTGAGACGTTGCCTCTAAATGAAAACACAGTTCATTTGTCCATCATATTTCTGTGCCTTCCACTTACTATGTCTTCTTTCCCATTGCAGCTTTCAGATGCTCTATGCAGACTGTTACATGACCCGTGAGGAATTCTGGGACATGTTCGATGGATCACTGTACCAGAAACTGCGGGAGAAACTAAACAGCAAGAACGCATTCCCAGAGGTCTACGACAAGATTTGCAAAGCTGCTCGTCACTGAGACAATCTTTTTTTCTACCAACGTGTCATGTGATTGTAAAATCGGACTACTTATGTCTCCCTGTTGATCTGCAGAGAACTTGTGAAAGACCTGAAGACATTTACTGTAGCTGTCAGCTGTGTTCACATTTGTGAGCAGCTGAGCTTTGGGTAACCGTCCTTCCTGTGAGACGAAATCTCTCCAATCAGCCGCACAAAAATGAAGTCCATAAAAATCCAATCTTATTGTTGTGAATTCCATACAAAGTCCAAAATACACGGTATACACCACCATAGTATCTCTCCCATTCCAGCGCCTATCGCCACCTGGCGTTTTATCATAGGGGCCCTGCCTGTGCGATTACATATGTACAAAGCGTCAGACTGAAAATAACTTTTAGTTCTGAATTTCATGTTTCAGTTGAATAACATTACAACACAAAAAGAAAAAGCAGGGGTTTTAGAGAGGTACTTCACCACGGCTTGAAATTTGGTAAAAAAGTTTGATTTTTATTTCACATATGTTTATAAATATACATATAAAAAGCAACAAACACTTTGTTTTAACCTATCGCAACTTAGACCAGGAGCATAGACCCATTTGACATACTATACATATCCATTATAGATCGATACATTCAGTGTGTCCACACTGACTCTATCGATCTATAATGGATATGTATAGTATGTCAAATGGGTCTATGCTCCTGGTCTAACTTTGTTTTAACCTATCGCAACTGTTTGTTGCTTTTTATATGTATATTTATAACATATGTGAAATAAAAATCAAACTTTTTTACCAAATTTCAAGCCGTGGTGAAGTACCTCTCTAAAACCCCTGTTTTTCTTTTTGTGTTGTAATTATCTAAATTTAAGGGGGAGAGGTTACACCTCGGGGGCCCATTGTGCCAGCTGCTCACAACTGTTTTGCGCAGTTGAATAGCAGAATGGAATCTCCAGATGGTAGAAAATGATCCAAAACCTGAATATGAAAGACTCCGGTGTATGATTATGATTCTTTTCAGATGTCTGGGATGCTTGACTTCCTTCTAACCATATACTTTTAAACCAGTTTTGTTCCTAATAAAAAAAAAACACCCAGATCTGTCCAGGTCACACCATAAACTGTAAAGTTATTCCGCATATTGAGCTGAAAATTTGAATTGATACATTGGGAGTTCTACCTGCTCTCCGATACATCTGGATCACAAGGAGGATGTCGGTTCTAGCCAATGTGATTCTACCTGCCACCACTGACCACTCAGTCCAAGGTCTGGAGCTTAATGCTGAACTCCAGACACAAAAACTTTCTTTTAAATATGTTTCTCAATAGCCAAAAACGATATCAATCTACGTTGTGTGCACCAAATGCCTTATTAAAACTAGTTATAACCTTGTAAAAGATTCAGTAATATTGTCACTGTGCTACACATAACCTGTGCAGAGAGAAGAGATGTGGAAGAGACCCAGCAAGCTCCACCTGCTACAGGCTGCCTGCAGAAAACGAAAGCAGGTGGCGGAGAAATAGAAAGATCAGCAGTGACCGCTCTTTATTGCAGGAAGCTCCAGCACAGAGGCAAAGTGTCACATTGGAGTGTTGCACAGTTCTGGAATAAATATACAAAGAACACCAGGATTCAAATATTTGGACAATTTTTCCTACTCCCGGAGTTCAGCTTCAACATTTATCTTGGAAATTACGTTTTTCTGTGTGGGTTTTATTGTATGGAAACCTCTTTGAGGCAATGTTTGTATATTTGGTGAAAGTGCCAATGTGTTCTATGCTTTAATTAAATAATCTTATGTACAATTGGTAATGTGTTGTACTGAGTGTGATGACTTCTGTGTCCACTGGACTGAGCGGGATGCCTCGTGAGTCCACTGGACTGAGCGGGATGCCTCATGAGTCCACTGGACTGAGCGGGATGCCTCGTGAGTCCACTGGACTGAGCGGGATGACTCGTGAGTCCACTGGATGGAGCGTGATGACTCGTGAGTCCACTGGGCTGAACGGGATGACTCATGAATCCACTGGACTGAGCGGGATGACTCGTGAGTCCACTGGACGGAGTGGGATGACTCGTGAGTCCACTGGACTGAGCGTGATGACTCGTGAGTCCAGTGGACTGAGCGTGATGACTCGTGAGTCCACTGGATGGAGCGTGATGACTCGTGAGTCCACTGGACGGAGCGTGATGACTCGTGAGTCCACTGGACTGAGCAGGAACACTTGTGAGTCCATTGCACTGAGCGGGATGACTTACACTGACTTCCTGAAGTCAGCAGAATTGTAAAGTGAGAATTTCAGACACTAAATTGGAATCATATTTGTAAGCCTCCAGATTCCAAATTTAAGGTGATCTTACTTCAGTATTAACAAATATAAAATCAGCATATAACAAAAGTGTACAGAACCAAAATGTCACATATGGAGTTGTTTTTAATATTATAGATACTGTATATTTATGGACTGATGATGGACACCCTTTAATGCCGCTTGCCATGACACAACTAAACACTTATATGTGAACTGTTTATGTGAACCTAAGGGTGTGTCATTTTGTTCAGCCAGTCTTGTGATTTACATACTCCTGCCATGTTGTACAGTCAGGAAGATTATTCTACTTCCTGGATCAGCTTAGCCCAGTTTGCTTATAACATAAATAAAAAAGCAATGTGATGATACTGATTTCTGATACCATTAAATACCCAATGAGCAGGCTGGTGGCAGAGAGATGACTCTGGAAGCAGCAAAGCTGAAATAGGAAGTAGCGGTGTCACCTGTCTGGCTGTGTAGTGTGGCAGAGGTGTACGAGACTGCATTCTTATACAGAAAAGCCTCTGGCTCAGCAACATCTATGTTAAGCACAGCTTTAGAATTAAAGAACTTCTGTCAAGATAAAGTTTTACCTAATCTTCCATAAAATCAGGTCTGGTCTGTTTTTGTGGCTGTGAGCTGGAGCAGTACCCGCAACTAGTGTTACAGATCTCATTACAGCAACCGAAAGCAATTTCCTCTGCAGCTGGGACTGGAATCCATAGGGTTAAATTGTATGGTGTGTAATGGCTAGTTGTCTAGATCCTACAAAACCAGGGTGATACCAGAGACAGGATTCATCTGTTACTATCCCAAAGTTTTCTGAACATTTGTTTTCTCACTGTATTCAAAAACAAAACTCGTTCACAGCTAAATATCTTTCCACTTCTTATTTATTCCTGTTTTGTACCCCCGCAGTTCTCTGTTAATCGGACCACTTATTATTTTAGCTCAGTTGCCTCTTCTGAGGCCTTTAACCAGTTTGAGCTAGAAACCTGCCAATCAAAAATCTTATATAATTTTCAGGATTGATCAAGAAACCATACGTGGAACAGAAACCCATAACAACCAATCAGAGTTCAACCAATCAGAGTTCAATCAGAGTACCACCATCGTAGATGATTTCTGATCTTTAGCTATGGGGACTGTACTTTGCACCTATTGCTTTGCTGCCTGCCCTGTTTATTTTATGGAGTAAGTACATTTGTTTTCAAGTAATTTAAATAATTATATTTTTTAATTGGTTAATGTTACAGTGGCCACATTTACTATACTATGGTGCTAATATCCTCCCTGGCAGTAGTTGGTCTAGGGCAGGAGAGGCAACATCAGCACTCCAGCTGTGGGGAAATGACAAATCCCATCATGCCTCTGTCTTTGATAGTCATGCCTGTGTGCGGTCTGAGGCATGCAACGCCTCATGGACTTCCACAACACCTGGAGTGCCGAGGTCGCCTACCCCTGGTATAGAGGTCCGAATAATCACACTCATCTGCAGAAATAACTCTTCCTGCTCCTCAGAGCAACGCACAGTTTCTCCTTTTATTTTCTTCTTCTGCACAAAAGACACTCAGGCGATACTGTGACTGCTATGGGCATCAAAAGCACTTTGAATAATGAGGTCCATAGAGCCCCCAGCTGTCACTGGGTAGGAGCCTAGTGGGAGGGTATGGGGGCACATATTGTTGGGGTAATCTCACCATTGGAAATTATAGAAGCAGGCTAATGGTTTAAGGCACTAGTGGCCCGTGTACATCATTTATTTATTTAGGTTGGACCAATATACAGATTACCATACTTTCAATTAGCAGCATTTCATGTTTTTGTCCCTTAAAAGAAACCTGGCATCAATCTAAATCAGAATCTGCCATTGTCCATCTCACAGTTTGGATACTAGATCCAAGGCAGATGGTTCACCCACAGAGATGCTGCAAAGTTACCTTACTGCCTGTGAGTCAAACAACAGCTTGATGACAGATTCTTTAAAGATCAACCTCATCCAAAACTAACAGGGTTATTCACAAAAGAGTTTGGAGAAGGCAGGAGAAGTGATCAATCTAGGCCAAAACAGCTGATTCGGAAAAATTCTCCAATTCAGTTAAAATTTCTAGTTCAGCTATTTTAGCCTAGATTGCTCACTTCTCCTGCCTTCTCCAAACCCTTCACTGTTTTGTGAATAGCCCTGCAAAACAAATGTCATTCATTTGTATAGTATGGAGAATCCATTGGAAAGAATGTGATGCCATCTTGTGGCAGTTAAGCAGAACTGCAAATTCTAGCAAGGGGATTTCTCCACTACCTCCCAAGAGGTATATGAAGCCAGCGGGTAGTTCAAAATACATACCAAGATCTATGGCTGGCCTCCAGGATATATAAGTTGTGGTAGAGGTTGTCCTTTAACACTGGAAAAAAAATACTTTTCTAGCTATCAATTCAAATGAAATGTATATAATTGCACATTTTCTTATTATCTGATTGTCTTTCAAACTTCACAACTAATCACCAGGGACCCTTCATCCTTTATGCAGTTGAGGTGGAGCTTCAGGTTCAGCAGATTCTAACATTCTCTTGCCAGCTGATGGGGTGTGGGATTTTTGGATACGCTCTCTAGGAAGACATAACACAAGGTTAATAATAAACTGAAATTTTATATATATATATACACACACACATACACACACACACACACATATATATATATATATATATATATATAAAAATTGTGTGGTTGAATATTTAAGCCGCAAAACACAAAAGGCAGAATAAAATCTGCTTGGTGGCTGTAAGAAATATCTCAGGACTAATGTCTTTCTATATGTCAAAAGCAACACGGAGGCTGCAGTGGGCATTCCAGCATCTAAGGGGGGCATAATCCAGGATCATTACCCCCAGGGGGTGGATGGGTGCAGTACAAAATGCTGGGAAGTAAAATGAGGTACAGGGAAAATTGGCTTTGCTCCCTGAATGTATTCTGATGTGTAAAAATTTAACATATTGCAGCTTTCCAGTCCTTAGATGTGGTGGCTGCATTAGCTTGCTTTTTTTCATTTCATCTGGTGATGCTGAGAGTAACACGCTTCCTGTCCTAGGCTGGCAACACCCACTCACTCCACTGTATCTATGGATACAGCCATGACTCCCACCCAGGCTGGACTACGCACAGGTCCGCCTTTGTTCATCTCTATTACATGGAAGATAGGAAGCTTAGATAAGATTGTTTTTGCCTTCAGTTCAGCTTACAGGAAATGACAAGGTCACAACAGTCATTTTCTGTTCTTGCTAAAATTGTTGTTAGCCCAAAAAAGAAAACTAATGCAGACACCACATGGAAGCACTGGTATGCTGCAATATGTTAAACTTTTGGTTCTTGGACTTAGTTATCCTTCAACAAATATTCCACTGTGTAAGCTACGACTTGAGGCACTCACACAGGGTAGCTTCCCCTGCACATGGCACCCTAACAAAGCAACAGGAGAATGTAGGAAAGGCAAATATGTCAGGGAGGGAGATTGAAGCAAACTGTTGCTTTAATCTGCATGGACAAGGCAAAGGTTCCATTGAACCTTACAGTTCCTCAGGTGATGGTGATTCTAAATGGGAAATGTTGGGGCTCTCCTAAAGTAAGACCTTAGTCTTGCGATGGTTGTAAAGTGATTAAAAAAACGTACGATCTGCCCATCTTGGACAGGCAGATCGTACTCTCGATCATCGCAAGCCCGCCCCCCTGAGGGGCGGGCTTCCGATGACCGCAATGCTGAACGGGCAGTGTGCGCGTGCGCACACCGGCCCGTTCGGCATTTGTCTCCCGAGCACCGTTCAAAGCAGCTGAAAATCGTACGATTTTCGGCTGGTTTTCTATGCGTGCTCCTTAGACAAAAGACGTGCGACCGTACAGTAGAAACGGTCGCACGTCTTCGTTCACACTGATCGATTCTCGTACGATCGCGGGATTTCCCGCGATTCTCGTACGAGAATCGAGCAGTGTATGGGCACCTTAACGTTTTGAGCGGTTCCTTATTGCTGCCACCAACACGATCCTTAGACACTATTATCGCACAATATGTACTGATGGAATATTTATTTGTTTAAAGCTGGCTTCACACCTTCGTTCTACAGTAACAGATGGTAGACCATAGGTTTTACCGCGTGTTACCGCAATGCATGGTAACACACAGCACTCTGTGTGGTGCGCTTTGGTGCCATTCATTTATAATGGCGCCCTGATGGATAACACAGAAGGTGCTGATGGAATAGTGGTGCAGTGCACCGCAATGCAAATGCTATACATTGCGGTGTGCTGCATTCCAAAAGTGGGCCATGTCTTTTTGTTCTATTACAATGCATTATTAGCCCATTCTAAATGAAATTGTGAATAATACAACATATCGGATGAATCTTGAGATTGACGAGTGGAGACTCTGATGCAAGCAGCTCAAGAAGCAAATAATCACCACTGATACTTACTGCAATACTTTGTCCCTTGGTAGGTTAGACAAATAACGCCCTGTTTTAGAAATGAAGGCGGTCCGGTACGTTGGTGCTGTTTTGTTCCGCGGTGGTTTGTTAAGATCATATCGGCCAACTCCAACAGGGTTCTGAAATCAGGAGCATAAAATATACTGATTACCAAGAACGATTAGCAAGGAAAAATACATTGCATTTTTAGTAAGCACATATTTCGGCTATTTTAATGTTTATTCTTATAGAGACCCCTCCAGTGTGCAAATAATTGTGGAAAACATCCCTGCAATCAGCAGCCTCCGTAGGCCTCTTCGGTATTTCCGGTGTCCCCTGCCATGTGCCACGGATCTATCCTCAGCCCCTACATCACTGTTGTGCCCTTTAGGCTGGAGCTGCAGTGCCCAGGGGGGGGACACAGCCATCTGATACACACGTAAGTATTGAATGCTGCAGGAGGCACGGACGAGTACAATGCCTCTTCTATTTCAAGATTTTTTTACCCTCATAGGGTTGCACTCCCTGCAGGCCCGGATTCCCCACAAGGCCACCGAGGCACGGCCTCGGGGCGGCAGGGCACAGAGGGGTGGCAGCGGTGTCCTTGTGGGGAAGTTGCCCTCTCTACATTCAATCCTTCTTTGTACAAGCAGGACTAAATGTAGAGTGAGGCAGACGATTTTTCGTTTACATGTGAAATTGGCGATGTCACCGATTTCACATGTAAACAGTGTGCAGCCGGTCCGTCCGTCCTCCCGTTCCCCCTGCACTCACCTCTCTCCTTAGGTTCCGTCCTCCGCCGCCGAGTCCTGAGTCTCTGACTGCAGTGAGCAGAGCGGCAGGGTTAAAAGTAACCCTGCTGCTCCGTGTAGACAGTGAGAGGGAAGAGCTGTGCTCTTCCCCTCTCACCTGTCACAGGAGTTCCAGCACAGTGCTGTGCTAGAACTCCTGTATTGGAGGTGACATGGTCACTAAAGAGAACCTGTCACCTCCAATTGCTATCACACAGGGGATTGTTTTCTCCTGTGTGATAGCAATAAAGTTAGGTAGGGAAATTGATTTAAAAAAAAGTTTAATAAATAAAAATAAAAAAAATAATATGAAATAATTAAATAACAAATCCAGTGGGGGGGTGCATCGCAGAACCTGGCCTTGGGGCGGCAGGGAGAGTAAATCCGGCCCTGACTCCCTGGGTCAGAAATTTAGGAGCAGCCCATATAGGTCTATGAAGCATGCGGCTCACTGAGGGGCTGATATAAACAAAGCTGATATATTTGCTTGTGAGAAGATGCGCTCTGAGTGTAATATTATTGTAGCCAGTGGAGGGATTGGCAGAGAGAGGCGGCAGACACTGAATGGTTGGTAAGGTGGATGAGTCTGGCAGCAGCAGTAATATTGGTTGGTCCAAAATGTTTTTGGCACACTTGCTGTACCATATTTGTATTGCTGAGTAACACACAGAGATTTGCATGTTCTTCACATAATGAATCTGTATTTCACTGCATCCAGTCTCATTGCTCAACAACTGCTTAGATAGCCACAAGGAAATTGTTTTAATCATGCAAGTGTGATGGATAGGCTTAAATGGTGAGCAGGAAACAGTGAGCATGGCAATAGATGGATCCCAAGAACAACAGGAGACATCTGCCTGTCCTTTGTCTGTAGTACTGGGACCTGTCACAGTATTTGTGCAACTTGCTGTCCTTAAGAGGATTTGAACCCAAAACCTTTTTTAAGTTTTGGATAGCGTAAGAGAACATTATAATCCCGATCAGCTTTTTTGGGGTCTTTGTGCCCCATTGATTAAATGTCCCTTCACTTCCTGTCCGATAGCCACAGGAAGTGAGAGGAAATCCCTCCAAAAAGAGGGAAATCTCTGGTGGTCAGCAGGGTCACCAGAAGTAATTTTCCCATTGGAGGATTTCCCATCTATTCCTATTCTAATGACAACTCAAAACTTGGGATTTTCTTTCACTTTCAGTGATAACGGGACAGGACACAGCAATAAAAACCCGACATATGTTCTAATTTATCTCCCCTCTATCCAGAACTAAACAAAGTTTGGCTTCAGTTGCACTTTAACTACTGATTGTCCTCATTCTACAATTCTAAAGAAAGCTAGAAAACATATATGTACAATACTAATTGTTCTTATGTTGCCCCCTAAATTACCCCAAATTCCCGCTTGCACTGGGCTATCGGATCAGGGGCTGGATCTGACTACTTATGGCCATTCTAAGGCACAACTCCAAGCAAAAACCACAGGAGGCATATTTAATGTGACACCATAGCTGCCCCCATGTACATATAAAATGACTGATAATAGTAACAAAACATGCTAGCTGCAAAAAGTAACAATAAAATGTATTATAGATCATTCACTTACAGAACTTCCAAAAAGTAATCGGCATGATTTTTTCTCGAATCTTTTTGCTGAGGTCAGGAATGGAGCGGATGATTGTCTTACTGATGCAAAGAGTGGTTTTGTGTCATATGTTCCGGGCCCTGGAGAATCCTGGGAAAAAAACAAGACACTCCGCTACGTACACAAAAATCATGAAAAACTTGCAATGCATTTCATAGCATTTATTCCACTTACATAAAACTAAAATCTCAAGTGGTATGGGACAGCAGTGTGTACTGCTACATTCACAAAAGATATACAGTTAATATGCAATGGGGAGGAATTTACTAAGGGCCGGTTCACACCAAAAAGTCCGCGTTCCAGAGGGTTCGGCCTCTAGAACACAAGCCAGCCATCTCCCAGCGTTCAGGGGCGCCCCCCGCCCGCAGTGTGATTGCCCACACCCAGAACGCAGGCACATTAGTGCCTGCGTTCTGGTCCAGTGCAATCTGCAATAATAGTGCTTGCAGCATTTTTGCAGGTCGCACTGGACTGGAACGCAGTTACTGTGCCTGCATTCCGGGTGCGGGCGATCGCAATGCGGGCGGGGGGGGCGTGGCTGCGGTGCCATTGACTTCAATGCACCGCCACACCCACTCATGGCCCCGAAGGCAGGGAGATGGCCGGCTTGCGTTCCAGAGGCCGAACGCTCTAGAACACGGACTATGTGGTGTGAAGCGGCCCTGAGACTGGAGCTGAGAGAATCTGGAGCAGCTGTGCATGGCAACCAATCAGCTTCTAGCTTTCATTCTCATAGCTTAGCTGAACAAACTGAAGAGAGAATCTGGTTACAATGCACAGTTGCTCCAGATAAAGTCTGCGCCATTTTTAGTCATTTTCTATTGTAGTACAACATACACTAAGGGGCCAATTTACAAAGCAGAGAATGTGACTTTCACAAACATTCACTGGTGGGAAATCAAACACTTCCATTTTAAACACATGGACCTGGAAGGTTCTCAGCCAGAGTATGTTTGTGAAAGTCACATTCTCTACTTTATAACTAGATCCCAATGTGTGCACTTTACTGGGTAAACCCCAATTGGATTTGCTCCCTTCTCTGTAAATGCTACTGCAGCCTTTCTCAACCTATAAAACATGGCGTAACCCTTGGAATAACTCTCGGATCTTAGGGAACCCCTGCTAATGATTACTAAATCTACAGCACAGGAACATTAGAGTGATCAGTAGATCCAAAAATAAATAGAAGGATAAGAAATCTGACATATTTAGAGAATTTGACACCCAGGGTTTCTCTATACCAGTTATCATTTGTAGCTACAGTGCTACAAATGATACAGTAGCTATCTAAGACGCAAACATTGCTCACTGCCCAGGCAGCCCCGAGTAAACTCTGGAGGAGGCCTGGGAAATGCTGCTCTAGAGACTGTAGTTTATGAAAATCCCAGGAAGATCTTCAGCCATGTCTACATGTTTTATGTACTCAGTGGTAGCCACAAAAGTCACATACCGGCTATTAGCATCATCACCCAAGTGTTCCATAATGTAGTGGTCACTGAGTGTATGTGCTGACCAGGACCATCCCTATAATAAGGCAGCCTGAGGTGGCTGCCTCAGGCGGCATATCATTGGAACTCACAACTGCCACTCCCTTTCTGGCCAGAACGCTCCAGGTTGCTTTGCTAGGGGCTCTTGGAAACCTATGGCGCTGTGGCTGGCGTCCTGCCCAGCTCCTGGCAACATTGAGCTGGACAGGACGCCTTCCACCACAAGCCACGACGAGTGCCCCCACCACCCCCTTCCCCCGGAATGTCCACCACACCCCACGGAATGTGCGGAGCAACTAGCTAGCTCACCTTCCTGACCCCCTACAGCAAAGGGACCCCCTCGCAATCTACGTCTATGACGTCGAGGGGCTCCCCTGGTGCTGACCACCAACAAGAAGGTTTTTAGTAACCTATACAATACATGATACCTACAACCGGTCGTGGCCAGTGAGTGAGAGAGCTGCAGAATATTCTCTCTGTTGGAACTTTCGGATACTGAGCAATCTTCCCGAACTTTCCATGTTTCAGTTTCTGATCACTCTTCAATTCTTCGGTGAATGATTTTACTTTGTATTGTCCTAATTCAGATGGAGTATGTTTCTGGGGACAAATGAAAATATGCCTGAATATTACTGAACATTATACTATCGTAATATTATCACCTCAGATCCTTGAATACATCTTTCATTCAATCTCTTTTTATTCAGTTTTACAAAAAATACACATAAAGTGAAAACATTGCCAGCTGCAAACAAAAGCATATTGGTGAAAAAAAGGAACAGCACAGTTGTATCTGGATCTCCAGCCATCAATAAAGTAAAACTCAGATATCTCTGATCTCATACACCAACATAGTAAAAACATCGGTAACATGGCTCGGGTCCATGTTGAAATGGTAGTACGGGACAAGCCCAAGACCCAAATGGTGAGCGTATCATAGAAGTTGTCAGAGGCATTTGAGAATATAACAAGTGTGATATTTGGGGAATATAGCACCTATGGTGAGCGCTTAAAGGAGAACTATGGGGTTAAGGCTTTTCCCCATAGTTCTCCTTAGGGTAACGGGAGGACACAAACCAGCGTCCTCCCGTCACCCTAGGCTCAGTATACCGCAAGCTGTAGCTCGCGGTATACTGAGACGCCGCAGCTGAAGCGGATCCTGACAATTGTGCCGGGATCCGCCCAGCTGCGTGACTGACAGCTGGCTCTGCCTATCTAGAGGCAAAGACAGCTGTACCCGCCCCCTCCCCCGTCCGCTCCGCCAGTCAGCGCTGGCGGATCAGAGTGGGGAGGGGGGAATCCAGCCCCTCCCCTGTCATGGCAGAGAGCCGTGACAGGATTGAGAGGTGAGCGAATGCCGGTATATGTTCGCTCACCTCCCGATCTACTGAGCCGACCTGTGACAGTCTCATTGTCACAGGTCGGCTAGAACTATGAGGTGAGTGAAAAGCACTCACCTCATAGTTCTCCTTTAAGGACCAGTCGTGAAGCCATTGTTACATAAAAAGGACAGGAAATTAAGGGAAATCTCTCTAATGGGACACAGACCGACCAGGGGACAAAAACTGACCGGGGTTTAACTATTCCCCATGTTATCAAAGATAATAAATACATAAAATATTTTAAAGAAGAACTCTGGGCAGAATAAAACTTAACTTACAGAATAAATGACAAAGAGGCACCAAATAGCCTATTACATCCTAGATGTAAACTTGATCCTTATTAGTATACAATGTTACGCTATTTTTATAGTTAAAAGGCCTGTGTTTAATAATACAGGGAAGGTGTAATGCAGATATTGAGGATTAGGATGGAGTGTTGTGTTGTACATGCTTTTTGATGTAACAAATTATGTTCGTATATGAAAAATGAATTTAATAAAAATCTTGAAAGTAAAAAAAAAAAATATTTTATTATAGGACTCTAGGCAGAATAAAACTTAACTTACAGAATAAAACTTAACCCTTACTCTGCAAGGGTTAAGTGCTCATTTTTGTCTAGGGTCTAAATCAGAGATAACCAAACTCCGGCCCTCGAGCTGCGGTTGAGTTACAAATCACATGAGGTATTGCAAGATTCTCACAGCCACGACTCCCGGAGAGAGATGCATCATGGGATTTGTAGTTTCACCACAGCTGGAGGGTCAGAGTTTGGCTACCCCTGGTCTAAATTAACAAAGATATACTCACCCGAACCTCGGGCTGGCTGGCTGTGATGAAATGTCCCTCGGCGTACTCACGTCTAATACACTGTATCAGATGTGATGACTCACGGATCATTAGATCAATGGAGCAGAGGGGGGGAGAGGCTGCAGGGACTGGTCTAGCAGCTAAGCAGGACCACGGTTCAGGTGAGTATATCTTTGTTATTTTAGACCCTAGAGTAAAACAAGAACTTTACCCTTGCAGTGCGGGGGTGGCCTCACTGCAAGGATTACGTTTTACTCTGCTCGGAGTTCCTCTATAAGGTAAACACTGCAGTAATATCTCTAAATATCTGTCTATTCAAAATATACCAAACTGTTCCTTTCAGTAGAATTGCCTTTAAGTAAGTTAGAGTTCCTTTGAGCAGAGTGATGACAGTGAAATACAGAGGCAATGGAAGAGAAAGCATGTAAAAATGAGAAATTCTATTATCAGTCCAACCTGTCCGTCTTTCTCCCACTCTGACTGCATTTAGGCGAAAGACTCATCTCTTCAGGGAAGCCTATCCCACCTGACCTAACCACTGAACTATCACTTTCTCAAACAATTCATCCCCACACAGCTACCTCCTCATGTATCACTTCCCCTAAACTTTTAGATTGTAAGCCCTCAGGGGCAGGGCCCTCCTTACCATCTTGTCTTGAATTGTATTGTGATTGTAATGTCTTCCTTATAGTGTAAAGCGCTGCGCAAACTGTTGGCGCTATATCAATCCTGAATAATAACAATCAGTGGAATAATGACTCCAAATATAAACTAACCAGGAATCCCTCTTACTTTCCCATTAAGGTTTCCTTGCATTACCCATACTTACTGGGGCAGCAAAGTATCCATATAAAATGGGCTGAGATCTCGATCCAGTAAACATGTCGTAGGGACCTCGCTTCCCAACAACATGTTTCACAATTTCATCGGTGGGATTTTTCAAGTTGTATGTCCCCGGTCCCAGCTCGGAGCCCTGGAATAAGAGCAATACATTAGACAACCGGAATTTAGATCATTTCTCCGTCATACTGAAATCACTCACCGCGATGGAACCTGAATCCCATTTCCTGCCCTCATTATCCATAATGCCCTTGGAGGAGGCAGACTTAGTGGCCCTTTCTTCTATCAGAGAGTATGGGTTCCCCGCTTTGCCATAACTTCCGGGTCCAGGGAAACAATCCTGCACAGAGAACAGACACGGAGGAAATACAGTCATATCGGTCACATAGGCAGTATCATAGTACACAATATAGGAAGAAATTAAATGTATGCGTATGCATTTCCAGGACTGTAAGAACTTTGCAGGAGTAAGCCCGTGGCCTTGGTAAACATTCTTCCTATGACAGCATACCCATAAATTGTGTTGGTGACATGTATAGTTTGCTAATGTGTATGTGACTTAATTAGCAGAGTGACTTAGTGATTAGCACTTCTGCCTCGAAGCACTGGGGCTCTCGGTTCGATTTCCGGCCAGGGCACTACACAGAGCTTGCATCTCCCTGTGCTTCTTTGGGTTTCCTCCACTTTCCTCCAACTCTTCATCATGGCAGGTTAATTGGCTCCTGTCTAAATTGTCCCTAGTATGTCTATGTATGTGTGTCAGATAGGTACCCTAGATTGTAAGCTCCTTGAGGACAGGGACTGATGATAAATGGTGAGTAAAGCATTACATAAATTGTTGACGCTATTTAAATGCCTCAGGTGGTGATAATAATCTGGCCACGCAGTGTATATGATATCTATATCTATATCAAGAGGTCAAAGGGGGATTTATTAAACCTTGTAAAATAGAAATCCCATTTCACATGTACAAAGTTGAACCCATAGTCACAGCATTATTGCCTTACTTGTAAAAGAACCTCACCTTCATGTTCTCTTTAAAGCGGACTTCTCTAGTGCTGCACAGTCCTCGCACACTGGATGACTTCTCTTCCATTAGATCAGTAAATGACTTGAAGTTGTAGCGCCCAGGACCCATGTACTGCTTCTAATGGAGTACAGGACAAATACTAATTACAGATCCTCTTAAAATATCCTGGGGGATATGACAGCGATAATCAGACTTTATCTCACCAGCAGGCGGTTCCTCTCCCATGTCTCCCTGTAGAGAATATGTGGCATCTCCGTCAGTTTTTCTGTTTCCTGTGCTCTTTTCCATCCAGGGGCTGACGCTTTTCTCTCCAGGACAGAGGCACTGAAATCTCCTGGGGCAGTTTCATAGGTCCCAGGTCCCAGTCTTCTTCCCTGGATTAGGAACACAATCAATCTCAATAGTCCCAGTGAAGGTCATGCACCCTTAGACTTATTTTAAGTGGAATTAAAGTCTGCATTGTGGTAGTTGGTTTCCAGTCCTGTGCCTGTCTCCAAAATGATCTGGTTTAAACCACTTCTGGCTTGACAAAGAGGTCCTGAACCTCGAAACGCGAAGCCAAACTGCTCGACTGACATTCCCATCACCCAGCGAGATAGACCGCGCTGGTTTCCAGTCCTGTGCCTGTCTCCAAAACGATCTGTCACAACGACTGCCGACAGGTTTTCCAAACCGCTACAGAGCGGCACTCTCACTCCCGTTCAGCCGTCGGGTCTCAGCCTGGCCAGCTGACTGCCCACGGTATTGGACGGCACGAACACCCTCAGTGCATAGCCTGTTTACAAACAAGGCTACAGGTCGGCAGATTTTTTGCGCTCCAGCCATAGGAGCCTCCCAGCTGTCACTACCATCTCTCCTCCATCACCAGGGGACCAAAACAGACCCTTCCAAACCCATACCTCTCACCGGCAGGACATTACTACGTCCATCCAGCAGTACAATAATCACCAGTGAAAATTCATGCATTGCCTATTCGACGATGTAGCCCGTTCATCACATCCACACCGATAGGCCCGAGACACTGCTGAGCGATCCATACAGCCTTTTCTCCTGATCTGCAAGACCTCATCTTGTCCGCCCAAACAGTGAGTTTTCAGTCCAGTATTGATTTTAAAGTTGTTATTTATACCATCCCCACAATATCCCAGGGTTGCAGCGCTTCTTTCCACCCTCCTTTCTACATATGTCTACAGGGTTCCTCCCCCTGAACAAGAAGCTGGCTCACCCCATCTTTTAATTTTTTAAATTTTGTTCTAACTTTTGTTTTTGTTTCAAAATTGTTGCAGAATTGTTTAACATTAAAATTGATTTTAAACAGATCTATTCCTCTTACCACATTCCATAACAGTTGTGCGCTCGCCATTTTTACCGTTTTTATTGTGGTGGGTAGGCTTACTTGCACATTATGGCACACTTACCTCCCAAAGCACTCCCTCTCTGGCCATGCAACCTCCATGATCTCCCTTGTTGCTCCGTCACTGCCGCAGACATCTTCGCCTGATCTTGCTCTGGATTGTTGTCTTCAGCCACCTTAACTGACCAGCCTGGGATAATGTAACTCCCGTCCGCATGCATCCCGACCAGGGGTGTAACTAGAAATCACAGGGCCCCATTGCAAAATCTTGTATGGGGCCCTGTGATTTCTAGATAAGTCCACCTGATAACCCAAACAGCCCACCTGAGGGTGACCCTGCAGAGCCCACCATAGACTCTCTATGGTGAGCTCTGCAGGGTCTCAGGTGGGCGGTCAAGCCTTCTTACCTGTCTGGCCGATCCTTTGTCCGCCTACACCTCCTCCATGATTGCTTGCGGGCCCCGCCTCCTCCGTCACTGGGCCCCAACTCCTCGATCGCCTCCCCATCGCTAAGACTTACCTCCTCGATCGCTGGGCCCCGCCTCCTCCATCGCTGCTGACGACCTGCTCGGACACCTCCCCCGAAGCTGCTGGTTGTCATCGACTCAGCAGCTGTGAGGAGGTACGTGCCGCTGCACATGTGAATGGCTGCGTGTTTCTCCTCACAGCCGCCAGTGACAGCCAGCAGCCTGAAATGCCATAGCGACCCAGACGGCCCGCACGGCATCAGGGGGATGTCCTGGCCGGGCCCCCCTGTGCCGCATAGCGGCCGCCTGGGTCGCTATGGTGATTGTTACACCACTGATCCCGACATTCAAAGCATGCCAAGATTGCACCCAGAGCTGCGTATGTGCGGCTCAGTGTACAACTATAAGAACATTGCTGTCAGGCAGAAAATGAGACTTCAGTTTTGCCTTAAAGAAGATTTGCGGGCAATTTTTGTAATGAACCCTTGCAGTGGGGCTACTTGACTGCTCATAGGTAGAAAAAAAGTTATACTCACCTGAATCTCCGAGTCGGCTTGTTCTTAGACCAGTCCTTCCAGCCTCTCTCCCTCTCTGCTGCAGCAGTCTAAGGATTCTGGCGCCATCATGTTCTATACACTGTGTATAGACGTGAGGATGCCGAGGGACATACCATCGCTGCAGAGTAGGAGGACAGAAACTGGAGGGAGCTCTGTGACAGCTGGCTGCCTCATTGGTTTGGATGAGTATAACTTTTTTATTTTTTGCACCTAGAGTGACTAAAGCGAGCAGTTACCCTTGCAGTGCGGGGGTAGCCCCACTGGAGCGGTTAATTTAAAAAATGCCTGAAGTTCTTCTTTAAAGTATATTTCCACTTATGCAGTCAAATTTGAGAAACCCCCTCTGCATGTTTGTTATGTGTTCCTATTCACACAGTATATCTAAAAATGATTTTACAAAATAAGTCTTTCTTTATTAGATGCTTCTGTCGATTAGGCCTTTGGACAGACTGCAAGCTAATCTGTATAATTTCCCAGTGACAGGAAACTTTGTCTGTCCCCATAGCAAGTCTGGGGACACTCTCAGCTTCCTCTCATTAACATACAATGCTTCTGCGTCTTTAACCCTTTGTTAGTACAGACAGTGTTTAAATCAAGTTTACACCTGATAATGAGATCTGCCAGCATAGTACAGATAGGGTTAATTATGGTTACTTCCCCACCCTCCCTGCATTCCAGAGGAAAGTTCACTTTCATCGATGGCTGAGGCGGAGGTGGGGGGTGCTCTGGCCGGCGGCCCGCTCAGTTTACTGATGTAACTTGTTGCCAGGAGCTGAGCAGGAGGCCAGCCAGAGCATCCTGCTCAGCTCCTGGCAACCAGTGATATCACTGGTTGCTAAGAGCTGAGCAGGATGCCTCCCAGAGCTTCCCAGGTTGCTGGAGGGGAGATGCGTATGGCCCTGTCAGGCCCTGTGACCACCCCAGAGTTTTGCTCCCCCACCTTCCCCTTCATTAACACAACATGGCTTGTCTCTTCTTGTCTGTTAAATGGCTGTGAAAAATGAAATCAGTCATAGGAGAGTTTCTTCAAATCTGAATATTTATTGGTACTCACTTGCTCTGAAGTCGCCCTCTTGCAGTATGATACCTGTGTGTAGGTGCCAGGCTTCTTATGCATTGGGTGAACTGCTGACACATCAAACCTGTATGGGGGAAGAATGTAAAAATAAAAATGATTTCTGTAAAACGTTCACATAAGGCTATACTGTACATAATCAACAAGGATGCTGACTCCCATCCTCCAGCCACTCAGAACATGGGGACCCAATAGTACTGTGACACAACCCCAATGCAATGTCTTTTTGGAGCACTGACCAGAGCCGTAGCTAGCTCCTTTTGCGCCCGAGGCCAGAACAGAAAATTGTTCCCCCCCCCCCGACAGACGTGTGCAGTATGTGACGCCATGCGCCCAGCCTCCAGGAAGGAGTCTTTGCACATGTCACTTGTGTGTGTGGATGTTTTTGCTTTTTTACTGGTGGGTGGGCTTTGGGGAAATATTAGGGATCTAAACAGACCCCTGACATTTCCCTTTTGAAATAGAAAAAGAGATTGAAGAGATTGAGGACACAGAGTCCTCTGCCCATACAGCGGGGGAGAGCAGTGGGGATCGGAGGAGAAGCTGGAGCCTGTGCCGCTCCTCTTCTCCCTGCCGAGCCACAGCTGTGTTGGCCGCCTGGCGCCCCTGTTGCCTATGGCGCCCTGTGCTCGCCATGGCAACAGGGGCGAGGGGGCGCAACCAGGTCTGTTTGGCTGCGCCCCCTGTCAGCTGCGCCTGAGGCGAGTGCCTCACTCGCCCCATGGGAGCTACAGCCCTGGCACTGACACTCTCATTTCATAAAGCGTTTTTAATTCAGTGTATCAAATTGAATGCAACCAACAATGGGGGGAATTTATCAAAACTGGAGCAGACAAAATCTGGAGCAGTTGCCTATGGCAACCAATCAGCTTCTATCTTCAGTTTAAGTTAAGCTTTGAAAATGAAAGACAGAAGCTTATTGGTTGCTGTGCACAGCTGCTCCAGATTTTGTCTGCTCCAGTTTTGATAAAGCCCCCCCCCCATTGTGTTTTATGTGCTTTTTCCTCTCTTTTTTAATTTTTCCCTTTCAAATATGTGAAATCGTGGAGTGAAACTCACTGATTAAAACATGTATTGTGCGTTATCAATGCGTTAACATTGACTATAATGTAACATGCGTTTTTCAAGAGCCGTATAAAAGATGCAGCAAGTAGGATTTTTCAAAACCGCATATATGACACCAGTGGGGAAGCTAGATATTCTGTCACCCGGGGCAAAGGCTCAGAGTTGCTCCCGCCCCCCGGGGAGAAGTTCTCCATCCACACACCCAGTGGCACCCCACCTAAAGCGGCACCCGGGGCACACCCCAGCCCCCCCTAGCTTCAGCCCTGCATGTCACACTAATGTGAGAGCTTCACAGATTATAATGGAATTATTATAATTATAATGGAACTCAGAGCTGTGAGCCTTATAAGCATGGCCCATCTTTGTGACCATGCTTCATGTTACATCCAAATTTACACGGTAACTTCCCCGGCTCCCCACATGCTCCTGTTTTCATTTGCTGTGCATGGCTCTAGCCACACAACTGCATCATCTATATACAGATCCATTTAAATGATGTGCATAAAAAGACTACAAGTCCCATTAGTGGCAGAGACTTTAGACCTCAATGGAACTTGTAGACCTCAATGCAACTAGGACGGTGACGTCACCTCACTTGCAGCCATTGATTACTTGCCCCCATAAATGAACATCCTTACCTCCATACAGACCTGGCGCTGTAGGAACAGTCTGCAGGAGCCTGAGCATTGCACCCGTGATCCACTGATCATGGTTGCAATGCTCTGCGGGCTTGAATGCAAAAATATTCTGTGCGTGCATTTATTAATTTTTTTAGAAGGTTGCCTTTAAAACTTGTCACATGGGTGCATTGACTTTCTGAGAAATGTGGTGCATTGTTGGTAACACATTGAAGATGCACTTGAATGCAAAGAACAGAAGACACCATTGAATTTGTGCGATTTCACTCACATGTCCAGGACTTCACCTGTAGGATGGGGAGACGCAATTTCAAGTGTTCTCAGAGCTCTTCTCTGCAGAACATAATTGCACATGTATAACAGGCAGAACAGCAGGGGTATCCTGTGCCCATCTAGCCATGGCGGAGGCAGATGTGCCAGCATGCCTTGGAATTATTCACACAGTGATGAACCAGCACAGACTGAGAGGCACAGAGTGCCTAACCCTGATATCCGGCCTCAGCGATCCAAACATAACGGGGCCGGAGTGTTCTGCTACAGAGTGGGATCGGTCAGGACCGTCAGATCTGCTGTGATCTGTGCACCGGGCATTTTACCTGGCACTCTGGCAGCCGAAGGGCGCCCCGGTGTACTTCTTCCCCGTCATGTTGAGTCTGGTCACCCTAGCAACGGAGACGCCTGTCAACCAGCTCCCAGGTTAGCGGTCACGTGACCGCAGGTAGTGGCCGGACTGGGCGGAGCGCAGTGACGTCACGTATCGTTCAGCCTCCCTCACATGCTAGAATGGTGCTGGATGCGGAGTATCTCCATCTAGTGTCACATCATGGTTATTGTAAAATGCTTGTATCAAGGAAAGGAAATAAATGATTGTTAAAAACAATAGGCATCTCTCAGTGACCACATTAAAGGCGAACTATGAGGTGAGTGATTTTCACTCCTCCTCATAGTTCTAGCCGACCTGTGACAATGAGACTGTCACAGGTCGGCTCAGTAGATCGGAAGGTGAGCGAACATATACCGGCGTTCACTCACCTCTCGATTCTGTCACGGCTCTCTGCCGTGACAGGGTAGGGGCTGGATTCCCCCTCCCCGCTCCGATCCGCCAGCGCTGACTGGCGGAACGGACGGGGAGGGGGCGGGTACAGCTGACTCTGCCTCTAGATAGGCAGAGCCAGCTGTCACTCACGCAGCTGGGCGCATAATTGTCGGGATCTGCTTCAGCTGCGGCGTCTCAGTATACCAGGAGCTGTAGCTCGCGGTATACTGTGCCTAGGGTGACGGGAGAACGCTAGTTTGTGTCCTCCCGTTACCCTAAGGAGAACTATGGGGAAAAGCCTTAACCCCATAGTTCTCCTTTAACTGTACTGAGGGCCACAACCGCCTATTTCCAGAAAAGATGATTATTATTATTATTATTATTATACAGGATTTTATATACCGCCAACACGTTGTGCAGCATTTATACAATATAAAGGGAGACAGTACAGTTACAATACAGTTCAATACAAGATGGTTAGGGAGGGTTATGGCACTGTGGTAATTAACATGATAGAAATTGCAATTTTTACAATCTTTTATCCCAGAAAAAGGGGCCATAAAACATTCCTGAAGTATTCAGCTGTAAGATTACATATGGAAGTGTAGTATTTATCAACTGGAGAACTAGGGTTTCATTCTATGTAAAGTCCTAATGTGAAACTCCAGCTTATAAAAAAGTTTTTTTTAAAACAAAGCCCAGCAAAAGAAAGGATAAAAAGACAGTGTTTCCTAAAGCATGGCCCCTGCCCCAGGCAGAAGAGCCCCTAGTTACATGGCATGTGTTTTTCAGCTAGGTAGTAACCAGCCTGAACTTTGTTTATATTTTCCGGCCTCCACTGGTTCTTCTAAGCTTGGAGTGTTCATTGCTTCTGTCCATTACCTTTAAGGGGATTCTGGTAATCAGTGTGGGAAGGGCAATCCCAGAGTTATTAATTGTTTTTTAGACTAACCAATCCCAGAGTTCTTTGTTTAGATGACTTGGGGAGATAATATATATTTGTAGCACCTTTCCAGAGTGTTCTTCACCTCCTGGGTTTCTGTTTGGATAGAATGCATATCTATCTGCACTATGCATAGAATGTTCTCTCTTTGGGTCTTGCCTCAGTTGGGACAAGTGCTGAAGGCCCAAGAGGCCAGCTGCACAGCTGGAGCATACTGTATATCTGGAGAGAGCTGGGCTAAAGGTTGGCTGCCTGGAAAGAGGAATCTTATTGGTGAAGAGTGTTGCAGACTTACTGGGTAGAAGCTACCGCTGGACATTGCATTGAGGATTCTTATCCCACAGATCAAGGTATCTTTGATATCAAAGGATCAAGGGCCTGGCTAATTATAGAAATCTATCTGCAACTTAAAGTGGACCTTTACCCATATCTTCAAAATAACAACAAAGGCACATTTAGAAAGGTTTAGTAATGACAATCTACAATCACATACTTCTTGATAATTGCAGGGTTTTTATTTTTTACATACCTTATTTTTATTTTCTTCCCGAGTCTTCTGACATTGGCCATTTTAACTAAGGGCAGGTTACTAGATCTCCCTTTACTTCCTGGAACTCTGCACCATGCACATCATCTCAGGGGAGGAAAATGCCTTTCCCTGAGATCTCATGAGATTACAGATGATTACAATGCTCTGCTGATGTAACCTTCCCAGGAGGCAATGCTTGAGTACGATTACATCATTTGTGCCCAAGTGGAAAAAAAAGAAATTGTAAGTAAAATAAGAATATGTTTGTTTAGCGAATGAGAGATGATGTGAGATGTGAGATGATTTCAGATCAGTATGCAGAGCTGTATGCTGATGTGATTTTTAGTCGAAGGGGATAAAGGTATGCTTTAAGGAGGACTGTGACTATTCTTATGGGTGCATTGCTCAATATGGCTGCTCTCACAAGGCTAGCAATTACAAAGAGTCCAATATTAAAGGGCCTTCTAATACCAGAGTATCTGTCCTATTTTTGAGCTATTTTGGGAATCCTACACCTCTAAACCCTCTCTCCAAAAATTGATTTTAGCAATAAAAGGTAGAATAACTAAAGTGACTTCTTTTTCTTTTCACCATCCAGCAATAACCAGACCCCGAGATGGAAATGTTAGCCTGCTATCCCATTTTGGGGTTCATTCCTAACTACCTATAGAGGAGGCGTGCTAATGTTCACCTTTAATCCGGAGGTTCCCCAGCTGTAATTCCTTTCTGCCACTAGACGTTGCCAATCATTTGGGTTAAATGACGATCAGCATCATTCAACCCACTTCTTCTGAGCCCAGAGTGTCATGGACACACCTCATGGTGCTCACATGTTGGTGCAGAATGAAGGTCAGCCCACTGCCACCACCTAGAAGAAGATAATGAAGGACCTAAGGCCCTGTTCACACCAGGGTGGTTGCGGATCAGCGCGGTTTCTGCATGGATTTTAAAAGGTCGGTTTTTGGGGTATTTCTAATTGCTGTACAGCCTGGTTCCATTAAAAGCTCTATAGAAACCGCACTGATCAGCGCAGCAAAAAGGGGTCAGGGAGCAATTCGGGCGGGAGGTGGTTCGGATCGCGCGGTCTCATGAACGGTCCCCATAGCAATGTATGGAATCGTTCATGTTGGTGGTTCAGCCACACGGCCAAATCCGCGCGGCTGAACCACCCTGGTGTGAACGGGGCCTAAGACTTCACTGGACCAGCCAGAAGACCCTTTTAATAAAGGTATGTGTATATAAATAGATACATATACATGAAAACAATTATTTTATTGTGACGTTCATCAGGGTTGAAAGTTAGACAAATATATATGACAAATTACTAAAACTTGCAGCTTTTCTCAGAAATGATGTACATTTGCCAACCTCGGGTTCAGCTGCTGGATTTCCTGTCTCCTCTACAGGAGCCTCTAGTCAGGTCATGCCTGTTTCCCTTGTCATCTCCACACCCTCCTCTGTCATCTTCGTCTTGTGGACTCACCTTCCACCCCCTCTCTTGTCACTTGTCTTCTTGTCATCTCTTCCTCCTCTCCCCTCAGGGAAGAATGAAGACACTCAGTGTAATGTGATCGGGAAAATACTTTGCAAGTTGCAAGAGTGAAACTTCTTTCATTAGCAAACATACTTTGACCTAGTAAGCAAATACTCACTTCCATCTTTCTCATGTGTAATAAAGTCACTGAAGAACAGCTCTATACCATATATAAGAGCGCATTAGCCGCCATTATATTTGAGTTTTTATTGACATTTACACTGGACTCTATTAGAGAATTTGTAATTGTACCTAGAGTATTTCCACATTCCCCTTCTTCCCATTGCTTTGGTTAGGTGCCTGTGCACTTTAGGAAATCTTGAGGGGCTTATGCTCGACTGAGACAACTAACCATTTTGTCATCTTTTTAAAAAATGCAGATAAAAGTACAGAAAATCAAGTATTTAAAATGCTTACTTGCAGTGTTTTTCCTTTCCATAAAATATGATGTAGCTCCCGGGGAAGGAGCATAGGGGAATATTATAGATTGTCACTTAAATGACAGTTCTAAGTCTGCTGAATCTTTAAGATGGCAATCTTAGGGCTTTTGGATGTCTACACAAGGGAAACTTGTGGAAGTCTTACAGGTAAATAACATGCCTGCAATATGTTTAATGTACATATAATCTTATAGGAAGGTTGTTGTTGAAATTAATGGTTTGGCGAGCTCAGACAGATAGTCTCTGCTACATGAATTGCTCCAGTTCCTCACTAAAAATGATCGCGAACAAGACCACCCTTGGAGCTCCCCCTTTAGATACATAGACCCCAGGTATGACAGTGTGAATATTTTCCACTGCAGTATACCCCCTCAAGCCTTACTTACCCCACTAAATAGGCAGATGATAGAGACACAGCAATACCGGCTTAGTTGACTTAAAGTGACATTAAAGTCACAAAACTTTTCTTCCCCTCGCCATGCTGCTTTAAGGACTTACCTTAAATGATGCCTCTTGGTCCGATCATCTTCTTCCTTCCACTTGTATTCAGCAATCTCTCCAACACTGGTGCCGGTCTCTGACCCAGCGCTGACTGTTGTGTCTCCTGTGTCTCATGGTGTCTGTCCGACGTACATGCTCCTGACTGCGTGCATTGACTTACACTGAGTTTCTCCTCTTTTCCCCGGCACATGCTGCACATGCGCTCGCCACATCATTCTGCTCAGCCGCCTGAGAAGCTCCAGATCTTCAGACGGAAGCGAGCGGCGGTGAACGGGGTAAGTAATGATCTTTTTGGTAACTTTAAAAAAAAAAAAATGTTTTTGCATATATCTATTGCTCTCTAGCAGTAGATATATGCAAAAACAAAGGGAGAGTTTAATTATACTTTAATATGGCAAATGGTTCTAATCCCTTTCTCCAACAGAACAGTCGGAAAAAGCATCAGGATTATAATAGCCCTTCAACTGCTTGAATGCGTGTGCAGAAAAGAGTTTGTAATATACTTTGAGAAAGAGACAGCCACACCAAACCAATGTCACTAAAACTGCAGCTTGACAATGGGGATGAGGTTCGAGTTTACCTCTACTATGGGTTCAAGGTGAATCCATAGGATTCACGAGATTTGCAAATCCTGAACTTTGAGCATAACAGTTCACAGGTTCGCAGCCAGAACAACCTACAATGCAGTGCATCCCCTTTTCTATGGTCAGCTGGGTCACAAGAGCCAATCATTTGAAGTAATGGATACCCTTCTAAAAAAGGTTAGGTTCACAGCAGCCATATTGTCAGTGTGTGTTGGAGCTGTTAAAGAGAGCTGACAATTCTGTGTAGGGAGAGATACTGTTTTTTTTTTTTATTTTGCCATTGGTTCATGTCTCCTATGATGTTGCCAAGCTTCTTGTGTCTTTTTTAACAGTAGCTTGCTTTATTAGTCCTACAAAGGGACATGATTAAATAAGCTAAGAAAGAGCAGAGTGGCAGAGAGATGAGTCTCTAAGATGTTATTTGCATTTATCCTCTTGGAGTCCACATGTTGCTTCCAGCTTAGTCCTGTCATAGCACATTTTATAGACCCATAACTATTAACTGAACAGCTCAATGATGTTCAACTTTATAGCGTTTAACTTTACAACTTTCTCTGGGACTTTGCAACGTCTGCGATAATAAATCCTCTTAAATCATCTGTTACATTTCCAAGAAGCCAATGCATTATATGGTGCGTATATTAATCTTGTTTTAGTACTAATTTTATGCTCCATAGGACACTGTAATGAGAAGCAGAGAGGTATAGTGAATGCATTGATTAGTCAAATCTGTGCATAAGTCACAGGGGTGAGGAGGGAATTGTACACAGCCGCCTCTCCCATGTAAAACTCCTCCCAGGCTACAGGTGACTCAGACCAGATATACAGGTACACCGAGCAGGAAAGACTAAAGGGATTTACTAGCTCTGCAGCCATGGAAGAAGAGCCCGGTGTGGACATAGAAACTCTCATAGATGAATTTGAATATATTCCTGGTCATTTCCATTTGGAAATGAATCTGAACTTTGAATCTTGCACCCCAGCAGAGTTTCGCAGACGGGACATCAAACTAAAACGTGATGCCCTTCAGTTCCAGATAGAATTTGACTCTAGTTTCCACCACTCTGCAATCAGAAATCTGCTTGGGGTATTTTCTTTCTATCTAGATGAGATTGATAGTGCCAAGGAGATCTTTGATAACATCACCAAGCAAGAAACCGATAACTTAAATGCATGGGCCAACCTGGCATATGTGTATGACAGGCTGAATTTGGAGGAAGAGGCTTCACACTGCACAGATAGGATATCCCATCTGATGGGCCTGGATGTAGAGGATAGGGGCAGCAAGGAGCCCAGGCTTAGGGCTGCCCGCTGCCTGGCAGAGCAGGGCTATGCCCATGCCTATGATGTGGGGTTGCTGAATGAAGAGGACAGCATGGAGAAAATGGTGACTGGCATTAATCTGTATGATAAGGCCCTCGACTTCGGCAAACACAAGGTCAGTTTAAAAAAAATGTAAAGTGGAGTCAGGTTTCAACTGGCATATTGGAAATTGTGGCATGTTTATATTTTAAAACATGCAGAAATTTTGGAGTTTAAAATGACTGGCTAACTTAAAATCTAAAAAATGCAAGCTTATTCCTGAAGAAGGGACCCCAATGGCCCCTAAAAGCTTGCATCATTTAGAACTGTAAGTTAGCCAATAAAGAATACCACCTAAACTCCAAGCTTTTGCATTACTTAATGGTTAACATGGTACAGGGCCCTACTGCTGTTTGAATACATAAGATATAATATGTATTTTTTTTATATATTTATAATAAGCCTTCAGCGGTATGTTGAATATGCAGGGAACCCAGTGCATAAGTTTGCTGTATTGTAATTGGCTAAATGTGAGAACAACATGTACTGGTTTGTTCTATGTGACAGGGCTGGGTCTTGATCTCAGACCAAGCCCCGGAAGGGTCCTTTCTAGTCAGCTAACATGATCATTGACATTCTTTATCAGTTGCTATAGAATTACAAGCTCCTGGATTGTTTGTCAGCCAAAGGCATTTAATGAACTATGCTATTAGATACTTCCTTCCTACATTTTACTTTCCTTTGGTGATCCTATTTGTATATAGAAGCACCTTTCCCACTTGTTTTATGCGCAGCCCCTTGGTTGTACAGAGCAGTTCCTCTCTAAGTGCAGAAGAACCCTCCCTGCCTAAATGTTGTGCAGCCCCTATGGCTGTACAGATGGGTTCATCTGTAAGTGCAGAAGAACTCTTCCCATCTGAATTTTGTGCAGCCCCCATAGTTGTACAGAAGGGTTCCTCTCTAAATGCAGAAGAACCCTTTCTGCCTGAATTCTGTGTAGCCCCCATTGTTGCACAGAAGGAATAATCTCAGAATGCAAATTTATTTCATTGTGCAGAACAACCCTTCTTCAGTGTGAATGACTCCTCTGTGTGCAGACTCCCCAAAATGCAGAAGGACCCTCCTTTTGTGTGCAGAGCCCCGACATTTAAAAATTCCTCATTATATGCAATATTCATCTTTCCAAGTGCTTAGAAGTTGCCTCTTATGAATGTGCAGAAGACCACCCTCTGCAGTAGATGCTAAAAGACCACCTTTATAAACACGGGTCCGAGATTTGGGGCCACTTTCTTAGCATGTAGGTCTTGTATACTGACAATACTCTGTATGCACACATAAGCATAGAGTTCTGTGTTACAAAAGGCAAAGTCATTGGGTGACATTAACAAAAGTCGCACAGGGACTACCTGAGAACTGTATGTGTAAATTGTTTAATTCTATACAAATTCTTTATAAAAAGATGCACTTCTGAAAGGGAATGCACAGTTGTGACTCCAGATAGGTTGCTGACCAGCACAGTGGTTTGTAAATCTCCCTTGCTCTGTGGTTTGGGAAATGTAGCCAGGTGGGAAGTCATAGGCAGAGATATAGATATTGCCCCACAACGGTCATAACCGGCTCCTGCCAAACTGGTGCTGTAAGATTGTAATACCAAACATATTTGTACAGAAAACAAAGTTCATTTGTTCTAGCTTGTTTATCAGGCATACATAAATGTAGCATTTGGGTTATTTCCCTTTGCTCAATGTGACATTTGCATTGCTGTTCCTGGCAAGGTTTAACATTTGCATTCAGAGGAGGACAATTCTTTAGATGCCGACCACAATTTCAATTAAACTACTGTGAGAAATTACATATTGGCCAGACATTAGCCTTTGGTCGGTTCAATGATTGCACGGATTGGTCATTATTCTTCCTAGCAGCCACATGGGGGACAGGGAAGCAGGGACATGTCTTATGGGGGACAAATAGGCTGTCAGCATGAAAACTGCCTGGTTGTCCTCAATGTAGGTTAACCAAGAAAGTCTGTTGAGGTTGAGGGTACATTATAGACATACTGATCCTATCAAAGTCACAGGTATCATGCAGCCATTACCTCTGCTAAAGGCTTATCAAAATATGGCAAAACTAATGTATTCTTATATGAGTATTTTAGTTTCATATAAAGTGACAATCAGCAACATAACTATATATAATAGATCCCAATAGCAAAATCTTTATAGACCACCCCAGGATAACCAATTTTCACCTTCTCATGAAGCATAAGATACCATTGGGAAGATTTAACAGTTGAATGACCATTTGCAATAAATATTAGTACATTTAACTGCAGAATTCAGTTTGAATAGAGTGCACATGTATGTAATGTAAGACATCTTTATTTCAAGGGAAAAATATGTAGCCTGGCCAATCATTTTTTTCCTAAAATGGGTGATAAAGGATTATCTTTATAAATGACAGTGCTGAAATGACTGCAATTGTTATTTTATCTGATGAAAATCAGACAGATCATGTGACGATTATGTTCTGTTCATGGACATATTGTGAAACGTGTACCAGTATAAAACAAGCAACATTCAGTACTAACTTCAGTCTACCTACTCAAAATATTCATTTTGGATGGCTTGACCTTTCAATCTGACCGTTATTGGAACAAGTGCACATGCATTCCTTTTACTCACAATTATTTGAAAATGCTAACGCTGCCTGGGGAAATCCAGAGGGGACAGTACTGGGTCCCATTTTCTGCTGGGCCCTATAGCAATTGCAGGGCCTACTGGTCAATTTATGATGAGATGAGATACTATTTCAGTGCATGGAACCTAGTAATTTGCTGAAAACTAGTAAAATCATACTTCTCTATATTCTGAGTTTAGGGCTAGTTTACACCAACTGTAGTTGTGTGATGCAGTCCGTTCAGTTTGGCTGCTGCAGCCAAAATGCATAACAATGCTTTCCTATGAAATTTCTGGTGCTCTATTCACACCAGTGCAGTCCGTTCCGATGCAGTCAGAAACAATACTGCTTGCCCTATCTTAGCTGCATTGAATTTCACTAGGATGCATAAAAACGGATCGAAAATGCATGCACACGCACTGGAACGCACATGAAATCCCGTTTGATCCCCAAAAAAAACCCTAAAACGCATCAATCGCGGTAAAATGGCGGTAAAATGGCAATACAATTACAAAATCCATTACAATGCAGCTGAGCAACCGCACGCAGCTCTGGTCTAAACAAACCCTTGGCAGAAAGTTTTTAGGCACACCCATGACACACCCCTGGCCATGCTGGCCATGAAGAATTAATGTGAAAAAGCAATTACTTCAACCCTCTGGTGCTGTTCTCACTGCTATTTTCCCTTTTGAAAATAACAGATTAGATCATTTGAAGGTGAAATGTTCAGAGCAGTTGTTTATTCGTTTGGGTCTGTACAGCAGACCCAAAAAGAAGAAAAATTGAAAAGCACAGAAGGACAGAGGGATTTGGTTCCAAAAGAGGGACTGTCCCTCCAAATAAGGAACAGTTGGGAGCTATGATAACATTGTTGCAGCTCAGTTTACAAAATGTCTACATGCCCCATGTGTGTGACAGGTACACTTTACAGCCCTTAGTATACCTTGGGTAACTATAAGATGAAGGTATTTGGGAGGAGCTAGAGATGGCTATATAAATTCAGGTGTGACATATTTGCTCACTGAACAATTCCATCCTTGGAATTAAGGTGTGTGTTTTTCTATCGCTTCGTTTCGCTTACAAGAGTTTAATTCACCGGACAAATTGTAGAAGTCGCTGTACCAGCAAGAGTCGTCCACATTTCGTTTTACGTTATATTTCAGCAGCTATAAAAATCCATGTTATATAATTATATTTATAATTCCTGCTGTGTGTTGACGGATAAATAAAGGTGTGTCCTTAGGCAAACAGTATGCCTGTTTGTGCACCAGAGTGTATTATAGAAGAATATGAATGGTGGCATGGTGGCATGGCATGGCGGGCAGTGAGGGAGCACAGACATAGGAAAAAACCTCAATGTTTAGAAATAACTTCTCAATGAAGATAAATCGGAAAATCTATTTATCATTATTGAGAATTTACCCAGTATGCTTTATGTCTGTCTTGTAGTCCTTAAAAGGGGGAGTGTTGTTGCCCCCACAATGTGTTGGGTGCTTTTGCTTGATGGAATTATGAACAATTAAAGGCGCTTTTGGATTATTTCACCTTTTAATTTGTCGCCTTTATTTCTAAATATTGAGTTACTTCTGGGTACACAGCAAGGTTGCCCTGTTTTGTTTGGGAGCTGCCTTACTAAATCAAGTGAGCTTATTTGCAAACATCCTTGCATCTGAAAGACTTGAATAAACAAAGAAACCCCAGCGCCTCTTACATGTGTTTCTCTGGAGCAGGAAAAACTTGACTGAGGTCCTAACCCTATTCAGAAAGTTGACTAGCATGGGGCTTTAACTATAAGTAACTCTTGATGTTTGTGCACATATGATCTGCACTTGTTTCTAGTCACTGACCTGTAAGATATGAAAATCCAGGAGTTCTGACTTATAGTGGACCTTGCAGCATAAATGCAAGTCCAGCATTTTAAATGAGCCCACCCATCCCCTTGCCGAAATGCAGCATAAATATTCAAAAACACCTGTAGAAGGAAAAAAGTTGGATAGTGTACTTACCTTTTTCTTTACTTTTGCACATTGTGACTAGGTGAGGGTGATATCAACCTCAATTGAGTAAGATCCGTGGAAGGTAGAATACTCCAAATTCTGCTGAGAAAATCATCTCAGCACTATCCTGCAACCTCTCCTTTGAAGGGTTAAAGTACTCAGCATTCCTCGGGATCTTGATGACAGGAGAATTATGTCAACCCTTGCACTATGGAAGCTGGAGAAATGGTAATCATATTATCTATCTTCCCCCAGCCCTTCAGGTGTTTTTGAAATGTCTATGCTGCATTTCAGCAAGGGCGAGTTCTGTCAAAAAGCAGACCTTGCATGGAGTTTAGGTTGCTGCATCCTAGTTCTGAGTCGGTGACTCAAATCAACAAAGCCAGTGACAGCCAGGTAATCAGTATTATCAGAGGAAGGGCAGCAAAGATTGCCTACATATTACCCTCAGCACAGGTTTACGTTAACATTTAAACTTTTTTAGTTTTGGATAGAGTCAGGGAGGGATATAATCCATGTTCGTTTTTCTTCTGCCATCTGTGTCCCATTGGTGAGTCTCCCATCACTTCCTGTCCAATAGCCAAGTGAGGGAAATCCCTGGTCAGCAGGGTCACTAGAACTGGTGTCCCCATTGGAAGAGTTTCCATCTATTCCTGTTCTGGTGACAACCCAAAATTTGGGATTTTCTTTCACTTTCAGTGATAATTGTCATCAGGACAAACAGGGAAGATACCCCTCTTTAATGAAGACACAGACAGTAATAAAAACCTGAAAGGTGTTCTAATCACTCTCTACTCTATTAAAAACTAAGTGGTCTAACCACTGAGCTGCCGCAGGCAGCCGAATGAATAGCCGACCCGAAGTGAAGTGAGCCGAACGCTGTTCGGCTATTCACTTCAGGCATGTACGGCTGATTTCAGCCATACACCGACTAAAATCAGCAGTACATCGGGTGGCTTCCGGTCGGCCAAACATGCTCAGCATGTTCGGCCGACCCGGAGTGCAGAAGGAGTTCGACTCAGCCGATCCAACATCTGGATCGGCTGAGCCGAACCTCCATCAGGCTACTTGCTGCTGTTCGGCCTATTCTCATAAATGCCGAACAGCAGTGACAGCAGTGGCATTCGGCTCGGCTATTCTGCCCGGTACCTCTGTGATACCGAGCAGAATAGAAAAACAGTTTTAAAAAATAAAATAGAAAACGATTGGGCGAAGATAGCAGTGACAGCTAGCTCCGCCCCACTGTTTTCTATTGGCTGGGCGGTTCTGCTGCCGTCAGAATAAAAAAAAGAAAAAAACACCATAGGAATGCATAGCTAGATTCCTATTGGCTATTTCACTTCGCAATAGCAAACTAGCTATTGCACCCGCCCTCTGCTGCTGTCAATCACCAGACGGGGACCTGATGGAGAACTGCAGGTCCCCCTCTGCTGATTGACAGCAGCAGTGGGCAGGTGCAATAGCTAGTTTGCTATTGGCTATTGCAAAGTGAAATAGCCAATAGGAATCTAGCTATGCATTCCTATGCTGGCTTTTTTTTTTGCTGACAGCGGCCCCATGTCAGAAAAAAAACAAAACAGATCGCAATGAAAGGTTTACTCTGCTCGATCGAGCAGAGTAAACCTTTCAGGGAGAATGTGTTTCTCTCCTGGGCGGCCGGGAGCCATATCAGACTCCCAGAGCGTCCGGGAGAGTAATGACAGATCAGCGTCCCTGGTTATCAGGTAACCAGGGACACCATCTATCATTACACACTGAGAACCCGAAGAGGCCGTTGTGATATCATAGCGGCCACGCTGGGTTCTCAGTGTGTAATGACAGATGTCATCCCTGGTTAACTGATAACCAGGGACGCTGATCTCTCTGCAAGTGGCTGGAGCCAGCCGTGAGATGACGGCTGGCTCCGCCCAGCTGTCAGAAGCAGGCTGTCGGTCGGCCAGCTTCGGCTTTCTACAGGTAACTTGGTAAGTTAAGGTAATTCGGTAAACTCTGCTCCAGATCTCGTAAATCACAACCATAATGTGAAAAGCCTTTCTATGGTATTCTTATATTGTAAAGCGCTGTGCAAACTATTGGCGCTATATAAATCCTGTATAATAATAATAATATGGTATAGCCAATATAATGCAACCATTTTTTAACTGTCTACTGCTCCTTCTAACATGATTAATAGATGACATTGAAGTGGTGGTAAAATAATCCAGGACCAGAAATACCATTAGGCACAGGGACAAAGAGAGGACTACCATCTCTGTATAGACATTGGCCTCACATTTGCCACATTTCCCATCATCAGTAGAATTACGGTCTCCTATGAGATCATTTACACATGGTCACAATATACTATTGCCAGTAAAACACGAAAATGTTCTGTATAAAAAAGGAGATTCCAGCACAGGCGTGCAGCATGGATCTTAGCAGTGGGTGCAAAATGTTGTGTGCCTATAGGCTCCAATGATGGAAATTCAACTGAGAAATCACAGATGTTAATAAACCCCTTCTGTATGTTAATCAGTGGATATAATACGTAGAGTTAATTAGGGAACCTGAAACTAACATTTATGCTTTGCTTTCACTGTTTCTTTTTATAGATCTCATTGGAAGAGAAAAGGAGCTGGTTTTTCACAATGGCCTCTCTCTGTATGCGGTAAGTCAATACCAAGCATAGTAACTTTGGTGGGGCAGTTTGGTTCCATGGAAGATGTAAGATCTTAGATTGTAAAGAGATACCAGGAGGTCAAGTCATGGTGTGGAGTCATTGTGTGGAGGGCCTGGTATTACATTGTTGGTATTTAAACATGCCTAGTCTCTGAGATCAGCACAGAGGAGCAAATTGTGCCACGGGAAATCTCTGAATTTAGAACTAGTAGTAGATGTTTGCATGGTGGGCACCTCATGTTTGGGGCTCTCAGAGTCAAAAAGAAGAGAAAAACCACAAGCAGTTTTTAATTTTTGATTCTGACGTTTAGGCCTGAGTTCTCACCTATTCATAGAGGTAAAACTTGCATTTTATTACACAGTAAAGTAACACACAGTACTTTGTGTGGTGCGTTTCAGCACGAATGTTAATACACAAAATACTCCACATTAATGCCAAACTGAACTTTCAGTTTAAATCAGCTAAATATATTCCAGGTGCAATACAAAAGGTTTTCAAAGTCTTACAATCAATCTCATTAGCAAGCAGCCATAGCCTGAGTAGAAAGGCCTGTCCCCTGCAAGCATGCTGCAAAGAAAGACCCTTACTCTCTTTTTAGAAGCAGTGGGTCAACACTCAATACTCAGGCTAAAAGCAAGGAAAAAACTGTAAGACAATTTACACGTTTTGTTTTGATGTACATGGAATGTATTTAGCTGATTTAAACATAAAGGTTTATCGTGTATGTGGTAATGCACTACCACAGAATGTGTTAGGGGACTGTAATAATTGTTAAGGGGCTGTAATAATTGTGCTTTAGTGGAGGAGATTGATGCAGTTACATAGGAGCTGATTTATAACTCTACAGATAGGAATTCCTAAGCTCCTCATTGCCATCTCAGGCAGCAGTGCTGCGCAAACAGCATTCACCCAGCTATACGCTGAATGGGAGATGTATCAATTAGCCCCTTAGGAACTTAAAGTGACACTAAACTCAGGAGTTAAATCTTAAAAAATACATTAAAGTTCTTTAACTATTTACAAAAATGTATCCTATTTGTGTATCACTCAGCTGTAGATCCTCAAATCATCTCTGAATTGGTGCTAACACTGTCCTTCCTTCTGGAGGGTGGCTACTGTTGCTCCCCTTGGTCCCTATGTGTGTTGTAAAGTAGCCACCACACCAAGCTCACTCCTGTGATGGACTACAATCTCAATACAAATGAGTAAACTAAACATGAGATTGTAGTCTATCACAGGAGCGAGCTTGGAGCGGTGGCTACTTTACAACACACACAGGGGCCATGGGGAACAAAAGTAGCCACCCTCCAGAAGGAAGGACAGTGTCAGCACCAATTCAGAGATGATTTGAGGATCTCCAGCCGAGTGATACACAAATAAGATACAGTTTTGTAAATAGTTAAGATACTTGAATGTATTTTTAAGATTTAACTCCTGAGTTTAGTGTCACTTTACGGATGTCAAAACCGTACAAGCAACATTCATATTAGTGCTTATTGATAATGCTTACTGATATCAACTCATTTTAATTTGAAACCCAATATCTTTTATTACCCTGCATAACCCAGTATTTCTATTTTAGGGTAGATGAAATCTTCATGATAAAAGAAGAACCTGAACAGAGCCGATTGTTATTTTTTAACAAGACATTGATGTTGCTCCGTGACGCTGTGAAGTCCTCCCACAGTCATTACAGAGGTAGTGTGAGCTTTGTCTGTATCACAATGGACACAGTGTCTGTTATGTCAGCGGCAGGTTTCTGTTTATATAGAACCTTTTGTTATGTTGCATTAAGTTCTTTGAGGTCAGATGTATTCTTTCTTTTATACTTCCTTTTTATAATATGTAATTGATCTCACTTTTTAAACATGGTGATTAGGTTGGTCACAGATAAGGTGCTGAAGCAACCCACATTAGATAGCTAGAGCCCACCACACAATGGAAACACTGCAGGTACACCTATGTAACCATTACATTTTAGCCTCAAGTAGGTCCGGTTCACACTGGCGTTCCTCTGTGATTTTAAAGCAACATTCAGTAGTAAAGTTTAAAAGGACAGGTGGCAGTGTAGCTCACATGTACAAATCACTGTGTTGCTTTGTGTTGCATCAAAATTGATCCTGCATGTTGCGTTAGGCAGGTGGTGCTGTTTGTCATCCACCTTCATTCACGTTAATGGAAGTGCACCTTAAATTTAAGAAATTTATAGTGCGGTTGAGATGTAGTTAGAAATCGTTTACAGGCCAGGGCAAAGACTCAGGAGGAACCAAGGCTTCTCCTATTGGATCTGGATCACACCAACCGGGGTTTAAGGACCTCCAGCAAGGCATCAAAAGTTGACACTCTAATGTGGACATAATCACGGAACTCCAGTGGGTACGTTTGTCAACTCAAAGTACAGGGTGTGAAAGTTCCCTTTGGAAAATCTCTGCGAGACAATTGGATACAGCCAGTACTTGTGCAATATCCAAAATAATCTTCAGCTGGACCATGAGAGATGGTATCATAGGAATCCATGATATTGACCTAAAAAAGATGGTTGGGTCTATACAATGGAGCAAAAAGGACAACAGAAATCACACAAAAAACACCAGGGGGCTAATTTATCATTCTTGCACCCAGTGTATAGCTTGTCGAGTGCCGTTTGCACAGCACTACCACCACTAGATGGCGCTGAGGAGCATAGGAATTTCCTCAGTGCCATCTAGAGGTGGTAGCACTGTGCAAATGGCATTCGCCCATCCCCATCTATACGCTGGGTAGGAGAGTTATAGATCAGCCTCTAAATATCACACCACAAACTAACTACACCTCACTGCCTCCTCATCACTTTACCTTTAAATTGTTAACTATAAAAAAAAAGTAAAGAGGATGTTTGAAAAGGGTTTTTCTTTGTGACTTGAACATGTCTGAAATGTTATTGGTTATGTTATAGAAAGGTTATTGCTTTGGGTGCATTGTTCAGCGTTCAACATTACCTTTCCTGTTAATGTGTGAACTTAGCTTTAGGAGAACATCAAAAACCACCAGGTGAAAATAAAGGGAAAAAACCCTGAAAAATAAAACTAATGCAGCCACCACATCTAATAATGTGGTCCTCCCGCAGTCATTACAGAGGTAGTGTGAACTTTGTCTGCATCACAATGGACACAGTGTCTGTTATGTCAGCGGCAGGTTTCTGTTTATATAGAACCTTTTGTTATGTTGCATTAAGTTCTTTGAGGTCAGATGTATTTTTCCGTTCATACTTTCTATTTATTTTATCTGGTTGATCTCTACACACATGATGCTCAGTCAGGCTGCAGATGAGGTGTTGAAGCAGGCCACATTAGATAGCTGGAGAGCCTCATACAATGGGGACACTTTGGTTACACCAATGCAACAAATACATTTTAGACTTATTAAGGAAAGTGTCAAAAGGAACCTGAGCTTCTCTGAATCTGGAAGGAGCTCCTCTAAAAAACATGAAATTTAAGCTTTATGCCATCGTATCAGCTGCGGGTGGGGAATTTCCAGTCCGCAGCTTGACGTAAGCAAAGGGATGCCGTGATGTAATTTACCTTATATGACTATTTGCCTATATTTGGTAAATTACATTTACTTAAAAGAGAACTATGGGGTAAGTGTTTTTCCCCATAGTTCTCTTAAGGGTCAGGGGGGGACATATACTAGCGTCCTCCAATGACACAAAGCTCAGTATATCGCGAGCTACAACTCGCGGTATACTGAGACTGCCATAGCCGCGACGGTTCCCGCCAATGCTGTCGAGATCCACACAGCTGTGTGAATGACAGCTGGCTCTGCCTATCTAGAGGCAGAGCCAGTTGTGCCCGCCCCCTCCTCCGTCCGTTCCTCCAGTCAGCGCTGGAGGATCTGAGAGAGGAACCGGGGCATCCCTGCGGGGAGCCGTGACTGACAGTCAGCGTTCACTGTAGGGAGACAATCGAGAAGTCAGCGAGCGACGGTATGTGTTTGCTCACTTCCCGATCTATTGAGCCGACCTGTGACAGTTTCATTGTCACACGTCGGTTCAAACTATGAGGATGAGTGATTTTCACTCACCTCATAGGTCTCCTTTTAATATGGCTATGTGGGTCTGAACTGGATTGGACTAAAAAGCTGAAATATACTGTATATTATTTTTGGATTTAGATACCATTTAATGCATAACTCCATAGCTATTTTAATTTTTAGTTTTGTGTTGATTGTGAAATGGTTAGATACTCTGTAATGTTTTCATTGCTGTAAGGCTCCCTGTTAAAGAGATTTCTCCTCATTTCCCATTCTACCCGACAACCGTCACCCAGACAGGAAGTGAGTAGAAAGGTGGTACAGTATAATATATTGACTGTCAAACCTTACACAAAATATCAGACATCTGTGTCTTCATATCAATCAGCCTCTTTTAAACTACCTATGTCACATTAAAAGTGGTGTAAGCACACAGCGATGGTTACTTCATGCTGTTGGAAGGTGATTCATTTGATGGTACTACAGCTACAATTATTTATGATACCGTTCCCGCTGGCTAAAGGCTCATTGCATGCAGCGCTCAGCATTACACAACCTGTTCAATGCTTCTTTACTTCTCTTCCGCGTGTTACATTTGGATTATCTGTATGCTCCGCATGGTCTGTTTATACATTGGCTGGCCAAACAAAAAGTCACAACCTGGATTTCGGGCAGTGTTACTGTCATGGTGTGGCCAAAAAATATTATATATTGTTATGGCCGCACCATAACAAGTTTATATGTAAATTGTGTTCGCTTCAAAGGTTCGTTCTGTGCAAATAGATTGCATACATTCAAACTGAAAAGAACATATATCTAGGAATATTTGTATCTGCACAGACGAAAGTTCCAAAAATTTAGGGGCAAATGGCTTTGTGAATTGGTTATAGATAGACTCCATAGTCAGAAATGAAAACAAAAATTTGGTTAGTGTTTATTTTTACCAAAGACTATTACAACTGTGAGGTCTTCAAAATGAACCGATGCTTTACCCTTGCAGGACATGAGATGTACTTGATAGACATTTATAATCCTAATAGCTATATAAGTATTATATACATTTTCAGCATGCAACCTATATATGGCCTTCATATATCTAGGAATGTTAGGAGGGATCACCAGCAAACATTGGCTTGCTGTGTTAAAGTGACATTAAACTCACTAATTCCTAAAAATGCATTAAAGTACCTTACCTATTACCAAAAATGTATCTTATTTGTGTATCACTTGGCTGTAGATCCTCAAATCATCTCTGAATTGGTGCTGACACTGTCCTTCCTTCTGGAGGGGGGCTATTTTTCTTCCCCATGGTCCATGCGTGTGTTATAAAGTAGTCACCACTCCAAGCTCACTCCTGTGATGGACTACAATCTCATGTTTAGTTTACTAATGTGTATTGATATTGTAGTCCATCACGGGATCGAGCTTGGAGCGGTGCCTACTTTAGAACACACAGGGACCATGGGGAAGAAAAGTAGCCCCCCTCCAGAAGGAAGAACAGTGTCAGTATGAATTCAGAGATGATTTGAGGATCTACAGCCGAGTGATACACAAATAAGATACATTTTTGTTAATAGTTAAGGTACTTTGGTGCATTTTGTAGATTTAAAGGAGAACTATGAGGTGAGTGCTTTTCACTCACCTCATAGTTCTAGCCGACCTGTGACAATGAGACTGTCACAGGTCGGCTCAGTAGATCGGGAGGTGAGCGAACACATACCGGCATTCGCTCACCTCTCAATCCTGTCACGGCTCTCTGCTGTGACAGGGGAGGGGCTGGATTCCCCCCTCTCCGCCAGTGCTGACTGGTGGAACGGACGGGGGAGGGGGCAGGTACAGCTGGCTCTGCCTCTAGACAGGCAGAGCCAGCTGTCAGTCACGCAGCTGGGCGGATGCCGGCACAATTGTCGGGATCCGCTTCAGCTGCGGCGTCTCACTATACCGCGAGCTACCGCTCGCGGTATACTGAGCCTAGGGTGACGGGAGGATGCTAGTTTGTGTCCTCCCGTTACCCTAAGGAGAACTATGGGGAAAAGCCTTAACCCAATAGTTCTCCTTTAACTCCTGAGTTTAGTGTCACTTTAACATGACAAAAAATATAATGACGTGCAGAAATGTTTGTCTGCTGTTCCAGACATGCCTGAACCATGCTGCTTATTCATGTCACAATGTGTATGTCAGTGACACTAAAGTGCAAAGATTTGTCATATGTTTTTTACGCATAGTTGTAATTCTTCTTTAGCTTTGTCCTGGTGCTACATTGGAATGATGCTGGAAAAACAACAGACATTTTCCACCACGCCGATGGGAATCCATGATTACGGCTTTTCAGGAACCGACCCACTGGACTGCTTTAGCAAGGTTTGATCAATGTGGTTTTCTAAAGTTTATGCAGCAATGATGAACATTCACATTTCTAGTTTTATCATCTTAGTTTGATTTGCAGAGACTGTAGGGAAAACATGCCAGGCCACAATTCTCTTCACCTTTCCATGGACTCAAGCTCTTCGTTGGACAATTGTGGGTGTTCCCAGGTCTAATTAAAGCGATGCATTGGTTCTTGATGCTGGGAGCTCTTTGTTGTTAGTTTGTGCCATGACGCTTTTGGTGCCAACAAAGTATCTTCAAAGTCTAAACTATACCCTACCCCTGAACCCCTAAAGTGAGCCCTTCACAAATATACCCTCCTCCCCAACAGTTACTACCTAAATTGTTAGTCTAGCTGAAATTATTTTTTTTTGTTCATAGATGCTGGAAAGTTGAACCACCTGAGAACTTTCATGTGCTTGATTTGGTGATACAAAATCAATATTTTGCTGCAATACACACATTCAAAAGGATCCCCCCCCCAGTAATTTACCTTCTCCCCTAGATGTCACCAGTCCCCCAGGTTGAATGATGACCAGCCTCAGTTAACCTAATTCCTCTGGCCAATGCTAGCCCACAGTCAGGTGTGATTATGCAAACAGGGGTGTGCTCACAGGACTTCTGCACTGAACAGAGCTCACAGGTCATTTTACACAAAGGCTTGAGTTCTGCTTAATCCTTAACATTGAGGGCAATTCACACCATGTCCGGACCAGATCCAGACCAGAACGGTTTTGTCTGGTCTAAAAATGCACCCCCATTCATTCCTATGGTTAAAAGTGAGGCTTGTTCACACCCTACATTCAGTTCCAGAACATTTAAAAAAAGTACTGCATGCACTATCTTTTCTGCAGGCGTTTACACATGTAAACACACCAGAACGCACCAGAAGTCTAATTGAGACTGAACCTAGACAACTTTCCAATTGAAAAAATGCACCGAAACGCATCTAAAACACACACGTTCCCACAAACGCATCCAGATGTGGTATGGAGATGGTGTGAGCAAGCCCTAAGAGCTATACTGATCTCCCAGTGCCTTACTCTAACATAGATGCCAACTGCCTCATATTTTCCGGGGCAGTCCCAAATCTCTGACCTCTGTCTTGAAAATGGTGTGTCTCTGACTCACAGCATCACGTTTATTTTAATTACTGTGCAGTCACTCAAAAAAACGGTATTAATTAAATAGATCACGGATGCAAGAGGGGGCTGTTCCTGGTTATTTGGGGGGTGGGACATCTTATAAAGTGTGCATGTCAAGTGGGCTTTGAGCGGGGGTGAGAGCGTCCGCGGATCTGGGACTAAAATATTGGTAAGTATCTCTAACACTACCTATCCCCGAAAATTGATTCCTTAGGCCTTGTTCACACCAAGTGCGGAGCAGGTGCAGAGCAGAGCAGAGCAGTTGCAGACCGGATCAAATGTATTCCAATGGTATTTTGGGCTCTAGTTCACATTGCAGCGTGCAGTTCCAGAGCAGGTGAAATGTGCCTTACTCTAACATAGATGCCAACTGCCTCATATTTTCCGGGGCAGTCCCAAATCTCTGACCTCTGTCCTTGAAAATGGTGTGTCTCTGACTCACAGCATCACGTTTATTTTAATTACTGTGCAGTCACTCAAAAAAACGGTATTAATTAAATAGATCACGGATGCAAGAGGGGGCTGTTCCTGGTTATTTGGGGGGTGGGACATCTTATAAAGTGTGCATGTCAAGTGGGCTTTGAGCGGGGGTGAGAGCGTCCGCGGATCTGGGACTAAAATATTGGTAAGTATCTCTAACACTACCTATCCCCGAAAATTGATTCCTTAGGCCTTGTTCACACCAAGTGCGGAGCAGGTGCAGAGCAGAGCAGAGCAGTTGCAGACCGGATCAAATGTATTCCAATGGTATTTTGGGCTCTAGTTCACATTGCAGCGTGCAGTTCCAGAGCAGGTGAAAAAACTGCAGCAAGCCCTATTTTACCTGCTCTGAAACGCATGAAAACGCATCAAAAACGCATGCAAATGCCTGGAACGCACTGAAAGCCCATGTTAAACTAAAAAAAAAAAATGGCCCGGAACGCATCAAAAACGCGGCACAACCCACTGCACCGCGTGTGCAGAAACCTGACCGGATCTGCTCTGCATTTGGTGTGAACAAGGCCTAACACTAAAGGGTCTATATATACATTTTTCACCCAGACATACAACAGGCAAATGCCATTCGCACAGCATTCCCACCACTAGATAGAGCCGAAGAGCATAGGAATTTCCATGTCATGAGAGAAATAGGTCTCTCTCCATCATCACTGAACTTCAGAAAAAGCTAATTACTTGGCCGTGCTGCTTGGCTGATCCTTTGGCTTTATTACTTCAAAAGAGTTATTCACTAAAGGGTGAAGAGTTTGGAGAAGGCAGGAGATGTGAACAAAGGAAAAAAGAAAATAGCACTGCGCTTCAAACTCAAAATATTCCTAAAATGTGAGAAAAATATTATAAAATGTGAAATGGTCACAAAGTGATAAACAATTTTGTGTCCTACACAACACCTGTGTTGCACAATGCCTGTGCTGATGATAGAAAAAACAAATGTGCTAGTACATAAAATGTGTACATATATTAAATCCTATGTTAAACCTCACAAGTGATGTATAACTCCCTCTTAATCTACATATCCATATGTGAAGTCGTTTACTTCTGGATACAATAAAGTCCTTGAAATATGTGATGATATATCTTCCAACTTTTATAATCAACACCACGTCCGTGAATGCATCAACAATTAGTGAATCAGTGCTCTCCAGTCTCCAGCGTGCTCAAAGATAAGATCTGGCCGCACTCACCGACTCCTATTGCTCACCATATTTCAGAGGAACAATTAGCGCTTTGTTGATATATATAGAACCAAATCCTCTCCTTTGTTTTCAATCCGACAATAAATTGGGGTAGATTCCTCCCAACTCTGGCTTATCTTCCCAAAATCGTGTAAAGGTCCCCACACACCTTGCGATAATCGTGGGAAATCCCGCGATCGTACGATTATCGTAAGGTGTGTGGAAGCCGTGCGACCTCTACTACTGTAAGGTCGCACGACTTTAAATGTGCCGCCCCAATGGGGCATAAAAGTTTTATATAGATGAGAATTTATATAGATTGTTTTGTCCATATCATTTTCCTATGGACGTTTGTATAGTTAGTTATATGCTGCCATCTAGAGGCCTTTTGTTGTAATGTACATGTTTTTCTGTAATTATTCCTCATGTGACAATGTATTTCCCCCTAGTGTACGCCCCTTCCTTCTTCCTGTGTGCAGTACTTCCTGTGTCATGGCCACAGTTAAAAGCCACATGTAACAAGGACACACATGTGATCTGCACAGTACGTAGGAAAGGCATCATTTTC